AAAAAAGAATTTCTTTTTAATTTAATTTTTTTTTTAAATATTAAGAATAGCTTTAAGAAAAGATTAAGTAAAAGGTATAGTAAAAATGTATAAAATTAAGCTAGGTCAAGGCATTTACCTTGCTTAAAATACTAGCAAGCTATTAGTATTAAGGTCTTATACTATTAAGCTATTATTCAACTAAGTAGACCAGGAAAACTCAACAAGTACAGGATTATGGTCTGAGAGAATATTTCCATCTGGTTGAACAAAGACCTTAGGGACATAGTTAAAACTCTTTGCAACAAGCTTTACAGAGCTGCCCGAGCGATAGCTATACTCTTGTTAGCATTCTTCAAGACGTTTGAAATGATAGTGAGAATGGTGACATACAAAACCTTATCCACAATCTCACATGTGTTGTCAGCAGCAGGGACACTGCATGGGTTTGCAGTCGCTCCAGCCGTGGGGAACTTGCCCCCTTGAATGAGCTGTACCCAAGAGTCGCTGAAGCCGGCATCGGTCAGTTTGTTGATGCTTCGGCCTGCATTGGTCCATCTGTCATTGGTATCACCAGCCACGATGACGGCCCTACCCTGGGAGTTCGCATTGATGTAAGCCAGGATCTGATCGATACCTGCCGAGCGTGCATCGACATCACCCTGGTCAGAGCTAAGTGGCGGATAGTCAGTTTCAGTCCAAAATGTATCAATCAACTAACATACCCAGCATCAGCATGAAGGTTATAGAGATCAACTTCAATGCTCTGAATTTTCATGCGCATAAAGCTGAAGCCCTTGGGGGTCAAACAATCACCAGAGTTCAGGTTGCACTTGTTCCACTTCTTGCGAACAAGACCGGTCCAGTCATAGTTGGCGACAGTGTTGAGGCCATCACCAAAGGGAACGCCGCCAGAGGTAGGAGTACGGTAAGCATGGTTGTCAGTCGCATAGATGTAGGCATGATAGTTGAAGTCCTCTTGCATATGAACAATATCATATTTTTGGGTGGCAAGAACAGTGCCAATGAGGTTGGCGTTGGTTGCCTTGTCACCAGGGACTTCGTTGTTGTTGATGATAGCAGGAAGACCAGCGACGTTGTAAGTAACGAAGTTGAAGTTTCCAGTGGTCTGTCCCACGGAGAGACCACTAAGAGCGAGGGCGGTGACAAGAAGGCGGCCGGACATGGTGCAGATCGATATATTTGCTTGGCTTGTTGGTGATCAAGACTGAGGCTATGATGTCTTGAACTCGCCGTCTACTTATGGGGAGAGCGACATATAACACCAAGTCCAAGCTTCATGAGCCGATCTGTAATGTTACATTGGATCAGCATAATACCTTCCTGTCAGGGGTCCAAAGCCGGGACCTCGTGAAGTGGTATCGCGGCTTCAAACTACAAAAACGATTGACGTCCGAAAAACAGCTTCTTCTTTCCAACTTCATAAACCGCGGCATATAGATACCATCACATTTACAGACTACGTCAGTGAGGCACGTCGAGTAATTCTCTTGTCTTACTGGTCTGATAGTGTTCCTGATGTGTTTCCGAATCTGGCAATTGGCCCGTCTTTACCGAGGTTTTGACTTTTCCACCAATGCATCGATGGATACCAAGCTTCTTAGCATTATGCGACCGAATAAGTTATTCCCCAGAGAACACGTGCTGTACTATCCCCTGCTAGGCCCCTTCGTTATCGCGGCGTAGTTGATAGATCGCAATTGACAGCGAGCGGAAAGGCGGAAATAGAGAGTTGGATGACATTTATTCTATACAGAATGGGAGTTTAATTTCCGGCTCGAGCAGGGGCGGTCGTAGTTCTATATATTTCTCCTCATTGATCATCGTTGAACTTCCCTCTTTGCTTGTCTATCCGTGCACCTGAAGACTTTTATCCATCGATAAAGGCGATATGAAGGCCACAATTGTTGCTGTCGCCTTGCTAGGCTCATCATGCTCTGCCCGCAGCTCAGGAGCCGGCACATCGTTGAATCCCGTCCAAGCCGTTCTATTGCCTGATGGCGCTTCAGCGAAGAACCCTCTGGCCCGTGTTGGAGCTAACGGCCCATGGCACATTGGTAAGAGGCATTGAACCGAGCTCAGTCTTTTATCTAACAGAATAAGGCGAGGACTTGACCGGAATATCTTCAGAAGTCCCAGAAGGATGCCAGGTTGACCAAGCTGCCTATGTGTCTCGTCATGGATCCCGCTACCCTGACCAGGGAGCTCACAATGGATGGCTCGAGATGGCTCGCCGTGTAAGAAATGATAGAGAACTTTGAGCAAGGAAAAGGGCTGACCAACGATTTAGTTCCGAGAGTCCAAGTACACCGCAACAGGACCCTTGTCTTTCATTCACACCTGGGAGAGCCCTCTCACCAACCCTGAGATCCAGGTCGCCCAGCTGAGCAAGACCGGATACAAAGAGCTGTTTGATATGGGATACACCATCCGAACCAGGTAAGAGCTCAGTATTTTCAGCTTTGAACTTCGTAACCGACTCACACATCTAGATATCCTGATCTGTACCAGGAGGGCGAGGACTTTGTTGTCTGGGCCAATAACTATACACGAGTTCTCCAGACCGCACAGCTCTTCCTTCACGGATTTCTGGGAACTAACTCTTCCCTGGGTACAGTCGTTTCTGTGACTGGCAAAGGCTTTCCATCTCACCTTGGTGACACCCTTGCTCCCTCTGATATGTGCCCTACGTTCGTCGACGACAGTAGCAAGCAGCAGGACGAGTGGCGCCAGCGATGGCTTCCAGCCTTCAAGAAGCGCTTGTCCAAGTACATCAAGGGCGATCTTCAGCTTGACGATTCGACGTGGAATGATTTCCCCTATATCTGTGGTTTTGAGTCACAAATCACAGGTAAGCTCTCGCCATTCTGCGACACCTTCACCCAGAAGGAGCTGGAAGCATATGAGTATCAGCAAGATCTCAGATACTACTACGGTGTTGGACCCGCCACCAAGGTCGCTTCAAAGATGATGGTTCCTTTCCTGGAGTCTCTCATCGAGCGATTCGTTGCTGGTCCCGATGCTACAGGTAAGAACTTTGATGGAACGCCGTTCAAGCTTCCCAAAATCCTTATGAGCTTCTTGAACGATGGCCAGTTGAACGAGCTGGCTGTTGCTACTGGAGTCTTTGACAAGCAAGCCCCTCTTCCTCTGGATCGCATTCCCAAGGACCGTATCTGGCGCAGCTCTAATATCTCCCCCATGAAAGGTGCCATCGCCTTTGAGCGTCTCAGCTGCGGTACAAGCAAGGGTTACGGCTCGAAGAAGTTCGTTCGGATCCTGGTCAACGATATCGTTTACCCAGTGCCTTCTTGCCAGGATGGACCTGGAAAGTCATGCTCCCTGTCCAAGTACTCCAAGTTTACCAAGGACAGACTTAGGAAGAACGGCAACTTTGCCAAACTTTGTAATGCGACAGACCCCGCCACTCCAAGCAAGGTTCTCGGCGCCAGCTTCTTCACGAACTTGGCGCAGTCGCACTTGCTGGCTGTGAAGCCCTAAAACGGACATGATACGAGGGAGGCCAGAGCTTATAGACAGGATTGTGATGTGATCGCAATTAGGAGGAGGACGTTTCAATAATATCTTAATTACACTTTCTTCACTCAGCCCTGAAGCTCTTATTTTTGACTGCTCGATTTGTATCCAAGGAGTAAGCTTAAGATGTTGACGTATTTGATCGCACCATCGCTAGAACTGTGAAGATGGCCTGGACACCGAGTTCAGTGCAGGCAACTTACTGGCCATTATCAAAGGATTCTGTGGGCTTGAGTATAGAGCTAAAGGAAACCATCTCTCTTAAATGTAAGGCCCTTTATCTAGTTACGGTCCAATACAGCTTTAGCCTCCCGGAGCTCATCTTCGGTAGGCATGTTGACGACCATTAGATACAAAACATCCTATTCAAGTCAGCTCCTCTCTTTTAATATATTCTGGGTACACTTGTTATCGTTACATTGTTGAAAAGAAATTTCCTTGCCGCCTTGACTGGCTTGTAAGGCAGCGGTAACCCCGGCTGCCTGTCAGTTCGTACTCCAGTGGGCTGTCCTTGGTTCTGGCCTTCAGATGCTTGACCCCTAAAGCCATGGCGAAGCTTCGTTGGGTCGACATATCCTCCAGTGAGTAGAGAGATCAGGGAGCCATTATTGGAAGGATGGCTCGGATCAGCATATCGTGAAGTGAACTTTGGCGCTTCTTGCTGGTTGGCCAAGAGGTTGTCCGGTCTGTTGAGCGCCTGCCGCCAAGTTTAGTCCACACTCCCACCAGCTGTCAACTTCAGTGACTTACAAACTGAGCTTGGGCCCTCTTATCATAATACTCCTGAATGTATGTTCTCTTCTCACCAAGGGTTTGCTTCAAACCTTTCGATTCCTCGCTATCAGCCTCGGCAAGGACATCGAGGGTCGGAAAGATGAGAGGGGCAGCCTCGGGGAGAGCAAAGTCACCGTATGTTTTTCCGCTGGAAGTTTTAAACTTGTTGGTAAATCCAGAGTCATACGATCCAATCGAAGAAGCGACTGTTGATGTCAGGTCAACAACTTCGTGAGACCTTCCAGAGTCAGGTCGCCAGGTCATGATGAGACAGCATAAGCCTTTTGGATAGAAGTATTGCTCATTCATTTGCGAAATGAACTTGTTCGACCTGTGCGCTCTGTAAGCTTCTGCTCCACATGGCGCGATACCCTGCCAAAGAATGTTACCTTTGCCTGCCTTGGACATCCTTCGCAACCTCAATTGTCTTGTACACGGCTGCACTGATGGCGATGCTTGGTGCAATTGGTACGAAGAAACCACCCAACTCTGCAAAGTTGATGACCTCGATCCACGGCGACGCTCGAGTAGACTGATCAAACTTATCTAGAAAGTCCAGCCAAGCCGCCTGGTCAATGCCGACAGTCTCAAGCATCGGAGCATATCCGCGAACAAATCCGCGGGTTCGATCTTTTGGCCTCCGCTGTGCAAGAATGATAGGTAGCTCCAACTGAGCATTGGTTCGCCACCTGAAGAGCCATGAACTCTCAAAAAGCTGGCTACAAGATCTTTATCGTCATGAGTCTGTTGACCGGAGTCGGAACCGCCTTGGGGACTCGCGAGTAGCTCGGATTGTGTTTCGTCGAGCTGCCATTGTCTTTCAGTTGCGTCCTCATTCTGGCTTGGCTGAGGCTCATAGTTCGGTGGCAGCTCGTTGCTAGCCGCAATGCCGCCTGGTTGAGGCTGCTGGCTTGGCTCTGACGATGCCGCGTTTTTCTCAGCGGTTCTCTTCTCTTTGTAAGAGCTGACACTCTCCGACACGAGCCCTATACCGCCTGCTACGCCACGGACAGCAGACCCTATCAAGCCCCCACCTCGACCGCCGCCCCGACCACCGCGTTGGAACAATCCACCTCGACCGCGTCCGCTATTTGACATGATGAATTTGAAATAAAATGTTGGAGTCGACGATCCGATTTTGAGGGAATTGGAGTCGGTTTTCACTGCAGCATGGAGTGCTTATTAGTAGAGGCCGCCATCAGCCCTGGAAAACGGACGGGTATGCGGCACCACGACGTCTTTGAATGGCCGAGAACGAGACTTGTAGCGGGGTACGGGGTTCATTTTGGGCTAAAGGACAAGATTATCAGACAAGGTTAATCTCTAGCGCCTCATGCGTGTCACTGCACCAGCCTTCAACGAGGAATGGGCATGATTTTAGTGCTGACAATGCGAAAACAAACGAGAAATGGATCGGCAAAGGCTAGCCACATTGCATTTGAAGGATTGGGGTACTTGATAAGAACTAACTAGGTATGATGTCGTAGAACAGCCGCACAGAGCCTTTGGACAGCCTCAAGGCAAACTCCACTGTTAGTGGGACAAGGAGAAGACAGGCAGTCTAATCTCTAGGCTTCACCATGACCGGCAGTCGCGAGATCCAGTTCTTGACTGCAGGAGTGAACCCTTCATAATACGGCATGATGTCATCATCAGATATGCCTGCTTCTGGTGCAATGCTCATCTCGTACCTTCGGAAAAGGCTAGCGACGACAAGGCGAGTCTCGATCCATGCCAACTCAATTCCCGGACAAACTCGTGTTCCTTTGCTGAACGTCACCAGGTATCTGTCAAGGTCTGCTCCTCCACTGAGCCATCTTTCGGGTTTGAATACAGCAGCATCAGGCCCCCAAACTGCCTCGTCTGCAAGGACATCCGGAATGGACATGCTGATGATTGTGCCTGGAGGTATTTTCCAGTCGCCATATTGCTCAATGCTGTGGCGGTTGACGCGACTCAGCCGGCAAAGCGCACCAGGTGAGAGACGAAAAGTTTCTTTGACTACAGCGGTAAGATAAGGTAGATTTTCCAAAGTTGTGATCTCCGGGGGCTCAGTCGGGTCCTTCCAGGCCTCTTTGAGTTCCTGGTAAAGGCGCTGCTCAACTTGTGGATTCTGGAGTAATTGGTAGGCCGCCAAGGTCAATACGAAGCCGACGGTATCCCATCCTCCACTCCAGATGGCCACTGCTTGCTGAGTAAGAGGGCCCTTTTCCTTTTCTTCTTGAGGCAACGAGCTATCCAGAAAGTCATCAAACACAGTATGCTGGGCGATACCTTCAGCATTGCGGTTCGAGTCGTTGTGCTGAGCCACGACTTTTTGCACCAACTTCTGAGCAAGCTATGATCACGTCAGACCTGGCATCCTTCAGAATGCCATGATACGCACCAAGAAATAATCAAGAAATGCAGAACCTGGATCGTTGAATCCCAGAGCCCTCAGGGTCAACTGACGAAAGAGAGATAAAAAGAGAGGTATCTCTTTGGGTATGAATCGACCCAGATGTGAGAACCCAAACAGTCGGTCCATCCTCTTATCGTAGAGGTTCTTGGTGGCCTGCACATGATGGAGAAACCCATATTCTTGGCCGAAAAGATACTTGGTTATGATTTCTGCCGGAACAGCCCGAAACAAGAAGCTTGTAGGAGGTTAGCGATTCTGTGATGTGGATTGGGGTAAACATACGCTAGGTCGATAGGACGTCCATCCTTACTGTTTTCCTCAACCCAGGTGCATCCTTTTTGGATCTCTTCGTTGATTTGGTCCTGTATTTGGGAAAGCTTTGTTCGGGAAAACGCGTTTCCAAATGCAGCACGTTTCTTGACGTAAGTCTTGTAGTCTTCAACACCAAATAGGGCGTGGTTGATCCCAAACTCTTTAGCCGTCATGGCCTCTTTGTTCAGAGGGCGAAATCCAAAGATCGTATCGAAGTACTCAGAGTCTTCGATATGAACTTCATTTGGCCCAATACGAACAATGGGTCCTGTATGCTTGTCAGAAAATGTCTGGAAAGGGAGACAATGCCATACCGTAATGGCTATGGAGATCTGGTAGCTTTGCCCACAAGCGGCCATGTTGGTACGAGTCCCAGTAGAATTCATACAACCGCGACGCCGCACAGATCCTTGGACCCGGGAATTTGGATAGCGGGTGGAAGAAGAGTCGTTGTAAGTATGTAATTATCTTGAAGGAAACAAAGAAGATGGACACATATTGGGCCAGCTTCGACTTGTCGATCGATGAACCAATATCAGATATGTGAAACATGGTTAATCAGTAGCAGTATAGGTGTCGATATACAGACAGTCACTGTATTCCAGAGAGGAGTGGCTCGACGAGTTGTCTGCACACTACATACAAGTACTCAAAAGAGAGCGGAGTCCGTAGTTCGATGTGTTTCCGAGTGCTAGAGTGCGAGCTCTGAAATAACTCAGACCGAGCCCCAATCCAATCACAGACTTGGAGAAGATAAGCAAGACGTTGTCATGCCTGTTGTGATGCATCTGACTCAGCTTACGCCCCTCTTTCGCGGGTAAAAATGAGCCGGGAAAAGAAATATTGAAATGATTTGCAGGCTTTTTGGACTAAATAAGCGTCCCCCAACAGGGCTGCGACGTTGCTAGGCTGATCCTACCATAAAGTCTTGCTCTGCAAATGCCACGAAGGAAGCGGGGTTGAAAGAAGCATTATTGTTGCTGCCCGCAATGAATCTTTCGTTTCGGGTCGTCCACTCTCACTAATGACATACTCACGAATACATAGATGGCGAAGTCTGATGTATCACTTGAATTCGAGATTATCTGGGTCAGGCGTATTATATGTCATCCAATGCCTCGAATCGGTGAAGCTTCACCTGACAAGAGCACAGATGTAACCCGCGTGAGGAGAGGGCTTCAAAGAAGCACAAGTATTTCTCTTGCTTGTGGTAGAGCACCAGGTCTCGACTAATCATGACCTAAGCAGAGATACGCCGGATCTCACAGCGCCTTACGAAGTCCCTCATGCTTTACTACCCATCCGTCATCTGAAGGAAACCCAGGTGTATCACGTTTCGATCCATCCCATCCTTTAGCCATGTAGGCCACTTTGAACAGTGTCAGTTAATGTCAAATCTTTCCCCAAGAACCATGTAAGCTTACCGGCTAGTAAGAACCCAGCATTGCCAGGCATAAATGGAGGTGGTGTGTTTCCATCACCACCACGAATGGCAAATCCTACAGTCAGATAAATCAGTCCCATCCTGCCTATTCCATGCAACGCACATTCTTACTTACCTGCGTCATCAAACTTCCAATAGTCATATGCTGTCAAGTGATATATCGCTCGCACAGGATTTCCAATGCGAGCCGAGTTGATCGCCAGTACAGGCCGCCCCCATCCCCGGATGCTTGGGTCAGTCCAGACTTCCCAGACCTTATCCGCCGTTCGCCGCGCTACCTCCTTGTCAACTGCAGGTGTGTCGGGTAGAATACCTTGTAGCATGATCAAACTTCTCGGATCACGGTTGAGTGCTGGGTCATCCCACCAGGTTGAGTTTAGACCGTCGTAAACTGTATACAGTCCGCCAATTTGAGGTGGTTTAGCCAGCTTCTTTGCAACAGTCACCCAGTGCTTGGGTACAGGTAGGCTGAGTTTTTTCTTCCACTCGCAGGCGACGTCAAGACCGTATCTCCAGTATGCGACTTCGTACGCAAGATTGAGCGTGTTCTCCGGGGGCGTGTTCTCTGTTACACCAATCGCCCATTGTGTTAAACCCGAAGTGTATTTTCTAACCTTATAACTGACTCATAAACTTAACTCCGCCACCACCTTCTAATTGCCCCGAACCTTCTTTCTAACCTTCTTCCCCAATCGCACCGACATACACATTATCACGAAACTTTCTCCAGTCAGGTTAAGCTTTTCTTATACATCAGTATTTCTCAACAAATCTAATAGCTATATGCCATACCTAGAAGTCCTTCTTAGCTAAATCGCTATCTATACCTTAAATATAGACATAATCTAAGCCGGATTTTACCGCAATAACTATATAGCCTTTTCCCTTTTCTCCTTCTTTTCCTTTTTTATTTTCTTTAAGGTAAATAGTATACTTTTTTTTTACTAGGTAACTTAAATAATCCTTATAGGGAATTTACTATAGGCTACTATATAGGTAATAGTCTTATAATTAAAGAAAGTAAGGTTAATAAGAAATTTACTACTAAGCTAATAGAAGTCCTATATATAGATTAATAGTATAGCTTTTCTAAAGTATTTTCTAAGGTCCTTATAGCTATCTGTAATTTTAAGGGTATCCCTGTACTAAGATATAGCTTGCAGTATAACTATAGCCCTATTAGTATAGTTATTAATAGCTACTATTTAGAGAGGTAAATATTAAGTAAAGATTTCTTTTATTATTATAAAAGTTACTATCTTAAAGATTAGGGGTATTTATAGTATTAAGCTAACCTTTCTTAGCTAATAGATTAGAGCATCTTATATACCTTTAAGGGCAGCTAAAGAGTTATAATCTAGGTTTTTCTCTTTTTAGCCTTTAGCTATAGTAATTAGTTAGTTATTTAGTATAATATCTAAGTTATAAGCTAGATGTGTTATTTACAGTTAAGACTTGTGGCTAAGAGCTTAATCCAGCGGACAGAACTTAGTTACACCAATTGCACTACACTTTAATCAGAACGGCACTCATGCTCTTTCTCAGGCTGTAGATCAACTTACGGTGGACCAAGATCATACTTCCCAGATGACTGGTTGAACCATGCAAAGGATGCCATATAATCCGCAGTCGCCTCCAAGATCGGATCCCAGCGCTTCAGCGTCTTCTTTGTGGGCTTGCTCTTACACGCAAGCATAGCCATGTACATGGGATGCGGCTGCTGCCACATCAGATGTGCATTGATCCCGCCAGGTGAACTTCGTCCGGTAATGGATTCGGTCATCTTTGGCCAACGTGCTCCCTCCCATCCCATCTTCTTCGCCCTCGCGAGCGACGTAGGCAGAAGCTTCTCATAAAGCGCAGGGAAAACATTGTGAAAGTATCTATCTCGACCCCATGTGGCCCAGTGAGCGCTGTGCCATACAACCATCTCTATGTGAAACTTGCCTGTCTAGGTCAGCAAATTGCGATGGAAATAAATCAAGCTTTACCTACCATACCAGCCGTTGTTCATCAGGCCGCTCTCTTGCGGAGACTCACCGGTGGCAGCGCTGTTCACCCTGACATGGTATTGGGAGGTAATGATTCGGCGTTGTAGCTCAGTAGCGTTGGGGTTCGTAGACTCTGTCAAATCGACAAAACCCCCTTCTCTCCAGTAGTCTTGCCATCTAGCTCTGCTACGACTATTGATAACAGATGGCAGATCGGGTACTCTCTTATCTGGGGAGAAGTGCGCCACGAAGGATATGGTTCTTCGATGCCTTGATGAAAGGATATATCGAAGAGCTGTGGGTTTGGTAACGCCCTGCGGCTCAAGACGCTTCAACTCCAGTGAATCGTTCTGGGGCCAACGAAGGTTCACGTAGTACTTGGTCCCCATGTCATGATAAATGTGCGCTGTGTTATGTTTCAGGCTCTTTGACAGCTTTGTAGAATGATTCTTAGGAAAATCATAGACACCGACAAAGACTTCGTTCTTGTACTTTGTTGTGTGGATTGGAGGGTATGGAAAGTCGAACTCGACCTTGAGCTTTCCGGACTCAATCAATTCTGAATCCACGGTGAAAACAACTGCGTCGGACTCAAAATCTCCCTGCGTCACAACTTGGACCTTAACACCATTGATTGTGAAATTTGATGTGATAACACCATGCCAGAGGTCTAGCTCCTGGTGGGTATTGGCTATGTTGCTTGATGACAGCGTATCGCCTTTAAATCGCAGCCCAATACGTCCCAGATTGATACGATTGGGGTTTCCGGTGAGCCATTGAGAAACATCAGGAAGATTTGGGTCAGGTAGATCATAAGAAACGCTTCTACCATGCGTCTTTATAGGCACGCCGGTATATGCGCCTACTGGCCTACAAGTGGTTAGTTTCTGAGCCGTTTCTCGTCCAAGGCGGGCCTAACTTACTCTCCAATTGGTTCAGTGTCATTATGCCACGCCCAGCGTGACATTGTGTTGAAAGGGAGGTATGTTTGCATTCCTGTGGTGTCAACAGAGAATGCAAAGTTACCGTTCCCAACTTGCAAAGGCGTCGTCTCGTTGTTGATCAGCTCTTTGCGGATGATGTTATTCTCTATCACGATTCGTTTTCTGTCAAGTCAGTGGGATTGAAACATTCCCCAGAGATGACGTTACCTGTCTATAGCCGCCGACGTGAGGATCGGCAACAGAAGCCAGCATAATAATTCTGAAATCTTCATCCTGGCTGCGTAGTCTCTTGGGAAAGGAATAAAGCGTGCGGTCTCTCACTTGATTCCGTCTCTCTGGCATTGGTTTGCTTTTTGTCAACAGCAGGAGGTTACTTACCAATATCTGGGTTCTTTATTTAAACAGCGGGGGTTTCTTACGAACAGCGGGAAGTTCTGGATAAAGAACCCCCAAAGCCCGGGGTAAACGGAACCGATGCTACTTGTCGGGCTTTATTACCCCAAGCATCCCCAGATAATTTGATGAGTGACATGAAAGACTTTCTCAGGCGATGGATTGATACACTCAAATAAGTAGAAGACTGTTTTTAAAAATTTGGCATAAATTCCCCCTGTTCTTTTTCCATAAAATATCGTAGATTCCAGCATAAATACTCTGTACTCTATGCATTTTTACCAAAAGATTACCCCCAATTTTCAACTCTCATCCCATCCTCCAACATACTCCTGTTCTCTTCATCGATTTGTCAACTTCTGGCACAAGATCAAACGCTTGAGGTAGTTGACCAATCCAAAGAAGGTTTGACGAAGTCACAAGGAGATCGAGAGAAGAATACAGTAAGGCCAGCGTACATGAATCCAATTTCTCCCAGGCCCAGTCAGCGGCACAGCAATGACGTCTCCAACATGGGTAGCCATCCCACGTGGAACATTACGCCGGTCACGGACAAGTCATGTGAGGAATGCAGGACCCCCAACCCTCCATGTTTTCTTGCAGTTTTTTGTCTCTCGGTCTAAAACCATGGATAATCTGGTCGGAGACGGGGCGCAATGCAATAGAGAGTTGATGAGAGATAACGGGATCATATCAAACACCATAATGGCTTCCATAATCCTCTTCTCGACTTGGCGCTTGCAAAAGGCACTTGAGCACGCATTGAAACGCAGGTGGCAAGCCCGAGTCATGCTATAGTTAAAAACCTCTCTCTGGTCGTATGCGTCAAAGAATACGGAACAGTGGTAGACACGGGGCCAGAACTTGCAAGGGGCCATCCACTAACGGAGGCAGAGATTTCAGAGACATCCGCCAGCTTGACTATAAACCAGGGGTTTGCATCATGGCGGTTTTATGTAAGTACCTCTCATGTAAGGCATCTGGTAGCCTTCGTAGCTTTACATCTACCCTCCTCAACGAAGTGGAGAGTCCTGATCCAGGCTGTGAGAAAGTTCGCTTTGGGATAGCCCCATAGATAACTTTTGTATTTAAATGTAGGGCCGCAGGATAGACTGGGCCTAGAGCCCTTGACCTTGCCAACTCATTTTGTGCCAAACTTGACGGACAGAATCCTCCATCATACTTCACTATACCTTCCCAGTGATAATAGCTGCTGCCTGCTCTGAAAGCGCATAGAGGGGAGCTTGAAGATGTGCGCTCAATGGCACCGGGATCACTGATGCGTCAACAACTCGAAGTCCTTTAACGCCTGTAACGCAAAACTCCGTGTCAACTACTTTCCCCATAGAGCAAGTACCTGAAGGATGCCAAGAGGTGCCGCCAGTCATAGCTACCCTCTGGTCCAACTTAACATCACTATCATCCAGTGCAAGAGCTTCGGCGGGAAGGCCTTCGGGAATTGATTCTCCAATGATCTCGTCACTAAATTTGGACTCCAGCATGAATCTCGTCAATTGGCGTAATCCTTCACGAAAGACATACTTGTCTACCTCGGTGGACAGATAATTGAGATTCACTGCCTACAGTCAGCGATACGAACATGGAATATATCACAAGATCGAAAAGAATTACTCACCCTTTGGATGTTCGCCAGGCTTCCCAGACTTCAATGACACAGAGCCTGTCGAGGTAGGCAGAAAGCTTACCAAGGCACTAGTAATATGCTCTGCATCCATGGGGACGCCAGGAAAAGGAAGTTTAGCAAACATGATAATGTTCTCGACAAATGTTCTATCTTTCGCGAGAAGAACATGCTCGGATTCACGCGGTTCTGTCCCTTCATCTCTTTCAATAGCTTTCGCGAGGCCCTCCCTTGGAATGCCGGTGTTGACGATCCAGTCAAAAGGTACACCTTGTGAGTATTGGGGTTGTTGAAAGAGAGGATTGGAGGACCCAATAGTATGCCCAGCAGAAGGATCACGTAGCCGCCAGTGCTGGAAGAATATCATATGATCAGATAAGTTCTTGCCAACCTCTGGAAGATCGACGAGTGGCTCAATGCCAAACTCCTGAAGATGAGTTTTCGGACCGATACCAGAGAGCTGAAGGATTTGAGGAGATCGGAATGCACCAGCGGAGATTATGATGTTCTGACCATTAACAACGCTACCGTCGGCCAGCTCAACACCAGTGGCTTTGAGATGCCCATCGATTTTCTGGATGACGACACGGTTCACCAAAGTCTCGAGACGAACTTGGACTCCTTCCAATGAGTACTGACTGGCAGACCACTCGCGTTTACCATCACATCTCGCCTCACAGATGTAAGCGCGCCCGAGATTGTTCCCGCTGTTCTGATCGCCGGCTGGCAGGGTTGAAACGCCAAGCTCTTCCCATCCAGCAGCGGCTGTCTCAGCAAGAGGGAACACGCGATTAGATGCCTTGGCGCAAGTTACACGGATAGGCCCATCTCTGCCGTGCTGCTCCGGGTTCGTATCATCGAACTAGAGCTCTGATTTCTTGAACCATGGCAGTTGGCCCTTGTAGCTGTAGCGGTCGTCGCCAACGAGGGCTGCCCACTCGTCGTAGTCTGCCGCAGCACCACGAGTCCAGCCACCTGCACAGTACAACCGTTACTCAAAGACTTCACCTACAATTCAGGAACCATTTACTCACCTGAGTTGATAGCTGAGCTGCCGCCCAGACCCTTCCCAGCGTTGAGAGTGATCCGTCGCCCCGTAAGTCCTTCAACGGGCTCTGACTGATACTGCCAGTCCAATTCGCCGCCTAGGTTCAAAACCTGCATGTTTTGGACATCCGAGCGGCCACGCGTTTCTTTTCCAGCTTCAATGAGGAGTATCTTGGCTGCGTCCTCGTACTGCCGAATGCGGCTGGAGAGAACGCAGCCTGCAAGGCCACCTCCAACAACGATGTAGTCGTAAGTTTGTGAAGCCATTGTGTCTTGGGCGTCTTTTCAAGACTTTATTTCGTACTGAGGATAGTTAAAGGAAGATGAAGAGCTTAAGAATAGTGCGCAATGAAATAAGAACTGTTCGCGCAAGTGGTGGAGCAGGAACAGCTGACGTGAGATTGAGATTGATCGGATTGGCATGCCATGCCATGCAACCATGAACCGCATCTGATTACGATATCTAGTAATTGTCCGATGTAAATATTATAGGGTGCATCACTTTCAACAAATTAAATAGTACTGTCGAGTCTCACAAGGATCAGAAGGCCAAAAGCGCGTTTGTGTTATCGACAGTATGCATACAAATTGCGGACAATTTCTTGATATTAGACTGGCCTTTTCCCCATTTTTGCCCTAGTGACCGTTCTTCCGCGATGTGGACTTCAGAGGGCATGACATTCTTTCTATGCAAGTACAGATAACTACAGAATCGCACATGGCAGCCACCACCGGTCGAATGATCTTATAGACAGAGCAAAGGATGGGGAATCACTATGCAACAGAGATTAAGTTCTAATTGAAGCGCCTCTCTTCAACGAGGGATCCAAGCTTTCGTACCGGCATAATATATGTAGCATCCTTTGCTTTGAGTTCCTCAGTAAGTCTCGGAGCCCACTGAAATATCAAGTCTCCGAGGGCTTTACAGAACATCACGTTATGCACGGTATCTTCTACTACAGATTTCAGTTTCCATTATAGTTCTTGCAGTACTTGCTGTATTTAAGATTCGAGTATTCAAGGCTCGACATGTCTCGACATGATGGTATGACATTGCGAGGAAACTCTTATCGCCAATGCTCTAGACTACGAGTGATAACTGAAACAGACATGGTTACGTCAGAGATAATAATGATTCCTCTTCTCTCGTTGAAGTTGGGATTCGATTGGTGCAAAAAGTATGCTCAGACTTCCGAGATGGTTTATACTTGCACCGACAGTACTCAACGCTACACAAGATATGTATCGTCGGACAAGGAGAGCTTTTTGGTTGCGCACGATACGATGAAGTCACCAAACTCGGGCTTCTCTCAGTCTTCGGTCTTTGGAAAATGCCGTTGTAGCGCGAGGTCATATATGATAAGAGCGGTGCGGCACTCGGCCGGCAATCTTCCCTGAACTCGTGAACCATTTTTCGGAAGTCGCTCTTTGTAATGCCACGCGATACGGTCTGCTTGACTCGAGGGTTGCTGGCGAAGTGGAGTCATCTTTAACCATATCTGCATAACACTGTCGATCATTACATAAGTGCCTGGAGGTTCGCACTTGGAAGTTCCGATATTCACAGTAGACAATGGAGCTGTGCCTGGCAATTGGAGTACAAAGTATTGTTTTCACTCTGCCTTGCCCCTAAAAATCGGATGTGTAGGACAGCATAAAGAAGAGGACCCGTGACGAGACCAGGCCTTGTTGCTCGTGTCGCGGAACACAAACAACTGAGTTTCGCGTATCTTCTCTTTCTACTAGACTACGATGAAGATCTTGACAGGGAACAAATCCTCCGCTTACACATCCGGATCGGACATTTTAGAATTGCCGTAGAAGCGTCTCGCATGGATATCTCGAGTGATCAACCAATGCCGGTTTCAAGTTCAAACCCACTTAGCACCACCTCGTATGCATGGCGACGGCCCGGAGCGACGAGCCAAGCGACCGACAACCGAAAACACCCTTGTATGTATCTGTGACATCAGAAAGCAGCACTTACTATAAGTACTTCATCAATCATTCAGTTAACTTGGTTTGAATCCTCTGCTCAGGTTCTCATACTAGTATATCAGAATCAAATACTTCTGTTTTCTAAGCTTCAGCTGCTCGACTTAACTCGCCTCTTCAATAATTTCTCAAGCAACAACACTAAAGATGGCTAAAGGCGCAAACTCTCCTCAACACCCTCGATACTGGCTTCTTACGTCTCCTCGTACTGCCTCCAACCTGTTGGTCAAGATGCTCAACCTTGGGGAGCAGAATGTACGCCCTGCCATCCACGGAGGATACTTCTTTCTTCCATCTTTGCCCAAGCACTTCTTGATGGCTGAGAAGCCCATGGACACCTGGACGGAGGAAGAGAGTACGATAGTGAACAAGGTAATACAGGAATGCTCTAAAAATTTCCAAGATTATATCGCTGCGGCCGAGAAGGAAGGTCAGATTGTTTATGTCAAGGAACACTCTATCATGTTGAACCATCCTCGTTGCGAGGACAATTATGTCAACGGCTCCACGGGGTCCCAGAAAGAGGCTACACCACTTCCCATGATGGACATCGCTCACCCAACACGATCGCCGCTCAATCTCACGCTGTTTCCGGATGAGTTTCTCAAGACTTGGAATCCAACCTTCCTCATCCGCCATCCGGCTCTGATGATCCCCTCTCTGTACCGCACATGTTTTGGCAAGATGGAATGGGAGGGCTTCAAGCGCCCCAGAAAGGAACCCATGGCAGCAGAGGTCACTACGAAGTGGCATCGAACGTTGTATGACTTTTACTCCGAGCACTTTGCCAACGACAGCATCTGGCCTATCGTCATTGACGCCGACGATGTCATGACATGTCCTCAACTGGTAGGCAAGTATGCGCAGCTCACTGGCCTTGATGAGAGCAAAGTCCGCTACTCGTGGGATAAGGCAGGGGAGGAAGAGCTGAACAAGCTGAGCCACGTGGAGCAGAGGATGCTCAGCTCTATCAACGCTAGTACCACGATTGACCAGAGTAAAGTCGCTGGCAAAGTTGATATTGATCAGGAGGTAGTCAAGTGGAGGGCTGAGTTTGGTGAAGAAGGGGCGCAAAAGCTTGAGCGATGGGTGAGAGACGCTATGCCAGACTATGAGTTTCTGCATTCCAGGAGGCTCAGGTTGGAGCAAGAGTAGAGAGCATATGATGGATAGTTCAAATGAGACGAAGGGTATTTCATCAGGTCATCGCACTCGATGTCAGTTCTAGAGTCGTACGAGGTAGTGAGTTCAACAAGGTGTCTCTAAGTCCGAGTCAGCTGAGCTTTGCGATAATTCAATACACCCCGTTTCGAGCAAGTGGATACAGTGAAGGATCACAAGCATACTGAATGAAACATATCTTAAAGATCCCAATGCCCGCTATCTTTCGGCCAGTATCAGATTGGGCCTTTGGGGTGATGCAAGACAGATAATGGGATGTTCTACAGGGCGCGATAAAATCAAGCTGCAATCCATGGTCCGTCTTACATGAACTCTGTGTACATAAGAATTATGGGATTAGAAAACCATAGCCACAGGTTGTCAATCAGGTTATCGCTGTCTAGACACTTTCCTCTGTGATATTTATGATCGAATATAAACATCGACCTGATACTACAAACTTTATCACCTCGGAAATTCATCAGAAGCAACACCGACACAGCACATCACTTCTGAAGTTTCTCAAACCGAGAGGGAAGACCAAGATCAGGCGAAGCAACCTAGCCGAGACACTTCCGAGAGTTTGGAGAGCCGTGCTTTCGACTACAGACAGTGAGATCAGCAAAGACTGGGAACTGGGGGGTGGCAGTTTATCCTAACCTGTTTCGGCACCAGCTCTCGAGAGCCCAAGGACGGAAATGGAATTGAGGCGGGAATAGATCGAGTCTAGTCTGGCCCAGAGCTGTCGACATGTCTCGGTTATTCCATATTCCCGACTGGCCCTGCCGGGCTGGACCGACATCTGGACCTGATGGGTGCTGTCTCCGTAATCATCTGGTCTCTTGCGGAGGAACGCCGCCGAGACCAGCAGTTTGCACCAGCGTCGAAGGAGAAGAGCAAAGGATCTACAAATGACATAAGGGTGTCATCGACAATCATAGCGGTGGCAAGATATGAGGTCAATACAGTTGAAATCCGGGCGCTTTAGGAACTTGATGCAACATGATGATGATGTAGTTGAGGGTAAATGCGATCCAACTACGCAATACCAACAGAGATCTCCAGTCCATCGTCGATGATTCTACTCAAAACCCAATCGAGGCCCTGTTTGCCCCAGCTATGGAATGAGGGGTCCTGAGATCGAGGGTCCTGTATTTGAGAAACAGGTCCGGAAAGCGAAGGGACTCGGTAAGCTTGTCCCTGAAAAGGCACTGAGGAATTCCGCCCCGAGCCTATTTGCGTTGATCGGCCATGGATTCAGGAACCACCAAAGTATGCAGAGTGCCAATCACCCGAAACTCTAAATCTACGACATGCGGACCTTGCATATTCGTCGATAAGGTTCAGGGCCAGTGGCGGCGTGGCTGCCGACGGGAATGAGAGCAAGCCACAAAGTGGTGCCTGAACGTGGAAAGATTGACGTTACGTCAGGTATCGTCAAGTCTGGACTCGAGGGCAGAGACTGATGGCTCTGAACGGATGGCATGGGGATAACAGTATATAACTCCCTCTCAGTTCCCCGGGAATGCACTCGTTCAGTCACTCACTCACACTCAAAAGCTCTTTGACATTTATCTGGAACAACAATCTTTGTCTCATAACCACTCCTTGAACAACTCAACGTATACACTTGCAAAGTAATCAACACTTACGACAACATGAAGGTCACTCTTCAGCTCATCACCGCTGCCCTTGCAGTCTCTGTCACAGCTCATCCTCAAAATGGACGGGGCGGTGGAAAGTCCAGCAGCACCACCACTGCTGCCGCTTCATCTTCGACAACCGCTGCTCCCGGTCGAGGAGCCATGTCTTCTCTGCCCTTCCTGCCAACCTGGCTCTTCAGAGACTCCAATGCCAACAAGTGCATCAGCACTTACAACAATTGCTTGATTACCAACTCATCCAACCAATCGGCATGCGCTTCCAACTACGCAGCATGCATCAAGGGCGGATCGTCTTCTACCGGTTCTGCCACATCGGCTCAGACAGCTACTACAACTGTTTCCAGTGCTGGTGGTCCTCCCACTCGCACCTTTTCTCGACCCTCCGTCTCTGGTCTTGCCCAGTGGTGGAGAAACGAGCAGGCCATCCGACGATGCAACTACGCCTACTACGTCTGCCGCAGAAAGTCTGGCTCTACTCAGACATCTTGCGCTTCTGACCGAACTGCGTGTATATCCTCCGCCAGCGCCACTGGAAGCGCCACGGCTGTGCCTACCAGTATTCCTACTAGCATCCCAACCACCGCGGCGACTACCACTGCGACTGGATCAGCAGCTACATCGTCGGCTGCTTCCTCTTCGACTACTGTCGTCGCTGCGGTTTCTGGTACTGCCGGTGCCGATGCTCCTCTCAACTCTGACGATCCTTCCTTTGATGACGAGAACTACGACGCTGATACTGCTTAAACTTGACAGAAACGCACGTCACTAAAAAATGAAAATAAAACACAATACATCAAGCAAAAATTCCCTTACGGTCAATTGGATTGAATATCTGAGTCTATTGGGATAACTCCCATTATCTTCATCTCCTGGCATCGCAAATTGGTGCGACAACATTCCCTTAGTTAATATTGATAGGTAGTTACTACTGTCCTTTGATGCAAAGAGCTAGAGTACATCTTAGACAAAGAATCATAAAGTTGTTTGCCAGTAATCTCTCTATCCGACGCTTTTGTGATGTGCTATGTCTATTTGTTGGATCGACTCAGATTGGACCGAGACTTTGCGGCTTAAGCGATCTTGGCCAGTCGATTTTATGCGAGTCTCTGATGCCTCAGAGCCGGACCGCTGACTCCTGGCGCGGCAGGGCAGAAGAGTGTGAGTGTTGTGCCAGCGGTCATAGGCGGTGCTCCCTGATTGCAAGTCACTGGCGCCCCAGAGACAGAGTCGCACCAACAGTCCAGGGTTGGGGTGCTGGGTACGCGAAAGCAATTGTTAGTGCTGACGCGTTACGTCGAGAGGTTCAAAGACGCGAAAGACTGGAATTTCGCGCTGTGACTCGATGGCTCTCCGTATAGCTCTGGGATTTGTTAGAGCGCGAGTGCACAACCACGGAGCTTGCACTTGGAAATTGAAGGGGCTGGTGCTGGTGGAGTGCACAATTTGGCACAGCATAACCTGGCATGAGTCTTTTTTATGCATGAACTTTTTTTATTACTGCTCCTTTCAGTCACCTCAAAGAAGTGGTCAATATCTCCAAACGCAATCTTTAATCATATCCATTCCACAACAGCGAAACTATCATTAATTTCATACCTCAATTCTTCCACTCGTACTCGGGAATTGGAAATGCTTTCGCATCGCCAAAGGCACCGCCAAGGTAGCGCTGAGCGAGCTCGACAAGCCCCGTCCATGCGACGAAGGCGAAAATATTGTTGCGCAACCAAATGCCCCAAGCTGTCTGCGGGCCCAGAATTGTCGTGATCAGTGGGGGAATCACCTGCATCTTGTTGATCAAAGGTCTAATCTGTTGCTCGTAGCCTTCGAGACCAGCTGTGATATCTCCTTTGTGTTTGCTCAGCTCTCCTGCCAGGATGTAGGCGCCTGCGAGGGCTAGGCTTGTCCCACCGCCTGTGAGACCTGCTGCGTATCCTGCATCGCCAACCAAGACAAACTGCCCCTTGGTTAATGTTGGTGATTTGACCTGTACCATTTCACTCGCGTAAAAGTCCTCGGAATTCATCATTTCCTTGAGAGCGATGCTGCTTTTCCATCCTACGTCACTGTAATGCTGCGCAATGTACTTCTTGAGCGCGTCGTTCCCTTTTGCTGAAGCCTCCCGAAACGCGTCCGCGCTCTCTGGCTTATCTTTCGGGTTCATGCACATCAGTACGACGCGACTGAAGCCTGCTGGGTCCGAGCCGATACTGATGTTGCGCCCTCGTACCGCGTTGAATCCCTGTCCAATTTTGCTTCCGTTGAGGACATCCTGAGGTATCGAGAAGTAGGCCGACCAGCAGTTGGTCGAGACCATATGATCACCAACATTGCATCCCAGTCCCAATGCACGCGTTCTTGACGTCGCGCCATCGCAAGCGACCACCAAGTCGTACTCCGAAGCTTCCGTACCATTTGCAAAGGTGACTGTGATAGGGCCGGCAATCTTTTCATTTTGCTGCATCGACGCTATCTGCTCATCAAAGATGTAGTTGATGTTCTTGTTGTCTTTTGTCATATCGAACAGGATCTTGGATAAATCCCCACGTAAGATCTCGTACTCCGAGACAAGCGACTGTTGGTCCGGATTCCCAGTTGGTCTGATAACTCCGTAAGGCGTGCCATCTTGGCGAACGAAGCTGATCCCTTCTTCTTGCGTCGACTTGGCTCTTACAGCAGCTTCCAGCCCACCCATCTTTCGCATTACAGACACACCTGCGGTACGAATGTCGACAGCTTGTCCGCCGGTGCGCAGAGCGGGAAAGCGTTCAATTACTGTGACCTTTGCGCCGGCTTTGGCGAGCCAGTACGCAGTCGCAGGTCCTGCGATTGAGGCTCCCGACACGAGGACTTTGAGGCCCGACATTTGGTTGGAGCGGCTGAAGATACGGAATCGTCGGATGGTTTACTTGACTCTGCAATAAGGAATACATCCACCCTCGTTTTCTTGGCGCATATTTCCAGCTTTAATACCGTCTCTCATTGTCAAGATGCATCGCATTCCGGACAATGGAAATGTAGTTGGCGGACAACGGACTATATTAATAGTCCACTTTAACACTGGTAAGCGCTATAACTTAGGCCTAGCGACGACGCTGTTGGTTGGGACTGAATCACTGCGTCATAGAGCTGGCTATACGGCACTGAACCTCACAATAAAGTCATCTCGGGGGCGGAAGCCATAATACCTGCCTCGTAGTAAAATCGCAAAGCGTAAACGATACCGTGAACGTGTATTTCGCGGAAAGTGTGCGAAACTTGTTAATTGCGTGTTTATTAGTATACTGGATACAATTTGTGGGTTTGAACCTTTACTACTGCGTCGGTTGATTTGGACGAAGGGCCTTGTAGGAAGGGTGATTTTGAAATGAAAAACCACTCAAGCGACATATAATATATAAGCTCTAGACAGAATTTTTTTTTCTTACGCGTTGTAAAATAGGAACTCAAATATGTATTCTTAAGTAAGACTGGGAGTTATTCACATCGAGTTGTTATCTCGACGTCTGCTACCCTACATCCGCTGTGAGGTCCGGCCAGTCTGTAAAATCCCCGCTCGGTGATCTCGGAAGTAGACGGGCAGACTTGTCCCAGTATTGCTCATGTAAAACCCGACAAATGGCACAATTCATACATATCATAAATATATAAAGAAAAAGAACAAAAATATCTTGGAGTTTCTAAGAACTATTATTCTAATATTTAATTATCACTGAATTATAAACCGCTTCAACTTCACAATGCCTTCATCACCGGCTCACTCGGAGACCAAAGCGCCTACTCCATCTATATCGATAAGCTCCAACGACTGCCAAGTCCACGGACAGTCTGAGACCCCTCACCTCGACAGGCTTCTCCAAAACCGCCCCAAAGCCGAACTTCAAGGTCTCGCCGACGCTGTTGACAGCCTAACGCACGGCGAGCAATGTGCCAAATGCGCGGTCCAAGCCGCAGTCACAATCGTGACCGGCTTTCTTCAAGAATTGTACACGGCTAAAAAGACCGGGAAAATCTCCAAGGAGGACAAGAAAGCGCTCAAATCGGAAGTCAAGGGATTAGTGAAGGGCATAAAGGGGGACGTCAAGGCTCGGAAGAGAGAGATCAAGGGCCAGTGAAAGATGTCTCTGGCTTCATCGCTGCAGCTCTGATGTAATAACAAGGTTTATGCTAGTTGGAAGATATTTTATGACATATCCCTCGGAGAACTGTCAGACTGATCAGGAGAGAAGCCCGAGACGCGCCCCATTCCTGATGATGATCGTGCTGTAGAAATTTACCTCAACCCACCCCGCACAGAGCATGCGCCTCTGTTCTCCAATACCTTCTTCCCCCACGGGGTCCGTGGAGACTTCAGAGGACCAAATCCATCCAAGGAAAATTATCACCACATCATCTCGGACCAGAGCAACATCATAAAAGCCGAGGCAGATGCTACGTTACGCAAGATAGTGGAGAATTACCCCAATGCCCATGGGGATAAGGCCTTCTCCAACCTTGTCCCCGCAGTCTCTTCCCATGCGGAGACTAGCTATCAACGGCATGGTTTCTTGTTGTATTCGGCCCGTCACGAATGTCACACGCTTTCGAAGCCGGTGAAGAACGAAGAAGTAATCCTCCGATCTTTAGTGAAACAGTTCGTTGGTCGATCAGAGCCGCAAGACTCGTACACTACCCGATACGGGGATTAGCCCGGCTCATGAATGGCTGTTGACGGAACTTGCCCGCTGCCGTATTGCCGAGTCAACGTTACGCGCACCTATAGGATGCAAAGCATAGTAAGGACAGTATCTTACGGAGAACTCCACAACTCCACGTATATACTTCAGACAAGGTTTGGGCCATAATGCGGAGAGTCATACTAAGACGTTAAGTATAATTACCTTAACCGTCGCCAGCTTTCTTGGCTTTCGATCATTATCTTGGCAGATACAATTGCCGGCCAGTTCTCAACATGTCTGAGCAGGTCCTCAAGCCAAAGGAGGAGCTCGGCCATACCGACTTCGACCACCAGGAGGTCTTGAAGAACAATGATCTTATGCATGATGCGTTCGATGCTGAACAGCGCGAGCATGAGCAGGGCGTTTGGGCTGCCGCGAAGGCCCATCCATGGGCTTGCTTCTGGGCATTCATCATGTGCTTTACCATTGTGAGTCAATCTCAAGAGTCCTCATTCCTAAATGCCTACTGATGTTGGTTCACCCAGGTCATGGAATCGTTCGATATGTTCCTAAACGGAAACTTTGTTGCTCTTCCCGCCTTCCAAAAACACTACGGAGTCCACGTCGAGGGTTCAGGTTGGACTATCCCAACAAGATGGCAGAGTGCTCTCTTCCAAGCAGGGCAATGTGGTGCTTTCGTGGGAGTCTTCCTTGCGGGGCCCATCACCAATAAGTTTGGTTACCGATGGACAACAATCTTTGCTCTGATGCTCATGAACGCTACTATCTTCATTTCATTTTTTGTGAGTTATCACCCTACTCCAACAACAAGCTAGCGGCTAACCAGATTTGTAGGCCGACTCTTTGGAGCTCCTTGTCGTCGGACAAGCCCTGGAAGGTGTGCCGTGGGGTTTCTTCATTGCCAACTCCCCTGCCTATGCTTCCGAGATTGTGCCACTTGCCCTTCGTGGTGCTTGTACAGCAACGCTGCAGATGAGTTGGTCTATTGGATCCATCATCGTGGCTGGCGCTACATATGCATACAACAAGAGGAACGATCAGTGGGCTTGGCGTGTGCCTCTTGCCTTGCAATGGCTTTTCCCCGTAAGTGATCCTCAATTTTTGTCAAACATCGTCAGCCTCTAACAATCTGCCTCCAGACCCCTCTCTTGATCCTCGTGTTCCTCTCTCCGGAGTCTCCATGGTGGCTAATTCGAAAAGGTCGCAAAGAGGAAGCACTGCGATCGATTCAGCGCCTCGGAAGTAATGACAAGGAGGTGGCTCACCAGAAGCTTGCTATGATGGAACGCACTGTCGAGATTGAGGAGCAGGAGGGCAGCAACCCTTCTCTGCTTGATCTTGTCAAGGGTACCGACTTGCGACGAACAATCATTACTTGCTTGATCTACGCGTCGCAGAACTTTGCTGGTAACTTGATTGCTAACCAAGCCACTTTCTTCTTTGAACGTAAGTGTCACTCATAACAGTTCCAGAAAACCCCATTACTAACACCAAGTACAGGAGCTGGAGTCTCAACGGAGCGTGCGTTCCAGCTTAACCTCATCAACTCGTGTCTCCAGTTCGTTGCCAACATCTTGTCTCTCCCTATCACCGGTTCTTTCGGTCGCCGTACCATTTACCTTTGGGGAACAATCGTCAATGTCGCCTTCTTATTGATTCTGGGCATCGTTGCCTCGATTAACCAAACCACCGCTACCAACTACACACAAGCTGTCCTCGGAATATTGATCTCCTTCGTCTACGCCGGTAGTCTCGGACCTATCTCATACACAATCATCGCCGAGACCTCGTCTGTCCGACTTCGAGCTTTGAGCACTGGTGTCGGTCGTGCTGCCTACTACGTTGCAGAAATCCCTATGATCTACCTGGCTTCGCGTCTCCTGAACCCTACTGGATGGAACCTTGGTGGCAAGTGCGGTTATGTCTGGGGAGGTACTGCAGTTGTCTGTTTCATCTCAGCCTACTTCTTCCTTCCCGAGCTCAAGGATCGCTCATACCGCGAGACTGATATCTTGTTCAAGCGAAAGATTCCTGCAAGGAAGTTCAAGTCAACTGTCATCGATGTCAGAGACAACGAGTAAGGACAGAAACAGGATCTATAAATAACGATTTATGCAGCGTGTCGGTTGGAACTTTGTATCCATTAGTAGCTAAAGCTGAAAGCAGTTATGTTATGGATTTATGTATTAGCCAAATTAAAATTCAACCACAAATTGCTCAACGATCGTGCTCAGTCATTATCTCTGCAAGATGTTACACTTCCGTAACAATCTGTAGTCTACCATTGGAACAGCCGTGCACGCGAGAGCAATAATCTCTTATCAGAACTCTTGGGAACTAATAATCACACACCTAGACAGTAGACACCCCCACTCAACGGCAATTGGTGCTTTCTATCAAGATTTACGATCATATACTCACATTCTTCGTGAACCGATACAATCTTAAGCCGCGGGTTTAGCTCAGTTGGGAGAGCGTCAGACTGAAGCTAAACTTCATCACCGATATCTGAAGGTCATGTGTTCGATCCACATAAACCGCAACAACCAAGTCCCAGAAATGGGAGATTGATTTTTGCACGTTGAAAACATAGCCTAAAAACGTACTTCATTGCTCTTAACTTGTTCCTCATCATAGTATGTATGCTAGCCACGAACCTCACAGCCAACAGTCAATAGTCTTTTTACCAGGCAGAACCTGATATTTTCACAACGCCTTGACTTGGATAACGATTCTGAACTCATTGATTAACAGCCAGGGATTTCGATATATTCAATGTTCATAATAGAGACCGTGCTTGGGAACCTGGGCCCCTTGGACTCTATGTATGAAGTCCAACTTCAAGGAACTGGTGCACAGATCCGGGAACTTCAGACACATATTTAAGAGTCAACCGCTCATCTACCTTTGCAAGTAGACTAATCCAATTCTGTATGTTGCGCTCCTGAGAGTTGAAGAACTGCAACATATGCAGTCTTCAGCATTGAGCATATGGCCCAGCGTTGCGAACGGAAGTGCGGCTGTGTCCGGAGGAGCCACGGCCTCAACAAGAAGGATTCACGAACCAGACTCAAGGTGTGGAATCAGATGCCTGAGAATCTCTACAGCATAATTATCAGGCCAGTCATGGAGAACCATCTTGAGCATGTAAACATCTCCTTGGGCTTTTTGGGGCTGCAGGCAATCATGTGGCTTAAACTTGACCCGAGACTTGATCTCAGCAGGCACTTGTTCATCGAAGGAGGTCTGAAGCTGAGGAAGATCTTGGGCAATGAATTTCAGGTTGGGAAACGCCTGAGCAATGGTGGAGGAGTCATGACCACTAGAACCACCAGTCTGAGGAGGGATGTTAGTACACTTGAGCCAGCACAGCTATTTTCAGTGACTTACATCAACCACGGCTGCTTCACCAAGTTTGCTCCAGTCATAAGCCGACTTTAACAAGTCATCAGTCTTGATGACAGAGGCCGATGCTGCTACTTGCATGCATTCGGCGAATCTCGCACTACGCCATCCTTTGGTTTGCCTTCAAATTCGCGGTTAACATATTCCCAGAACGTTTCAGGCCTGTTTAATTTGTCAATATTGGCCAAAGAAAAGCCACTATCAGCTGGTTCTGACTGGGCTCCTGTTTGCTAATGCTGAACTTCCCGAGTGACTCCGCAACGTGAAGCGATCCGGGACCAGCTTCCTCTAACAGATGTAGGAGCCAATTCTGATACAGCCGGTTCCGGGCAGGGAGAGTAGATAATGAAGTATGGCAAACTTTGTCAGGCGTATCATTGGCATTGGCGAAGATGCGAATTGAGGTGGCATGGGTGAGGACGCGGCGCACGATACTTTCTGGAAGGTTGACCTGAGCAGTGATTTCAGCGTATGTTGCCAACCCCCCGATCGGTACAGCGTTCCAGAAGTTGAACTGATTCAGGATGTTTGTGATCGATGCATCATGAAATGCCTATTTATCGACTATCAGTTCTGCTTTCTTCAGGTCGAACATGGTGGGCTCCACGAACAAGAAAAGGACCCATGAATGATGAATCAGTTGGCCCAAGAGCAAGGCAGTAGAGGTCAGTGGTGGCATCGAGCAACTGCATGCGAAGACCAATGATCTCAGGATCCGTTGAGTAGTTCGCAAGTCCATCTTGTACAAAAGACGGAGCCGAATATCCGCCTTTCTCAAGCTTCGCTGCCAAAGCTGTTGCTGCTTGCGACGCAGCTTCGGCGAGGTCGGTCAGCGACGGTGTCGTGGCTGTCATGTTGAACTCAGGTTGGAAGTGTTTTTGGAAAAGAAATTGGCCGGGAGAGTCTATGCCGGCTCTATTGACAACGAGAATGGATCTCGATTAAGTAGTAAAAGTGTATTGGGACTATTATGCCATATTCCTACGGACTCCATTCCTAGATGATTCGTCCCAGAGCGTTGCACTGCATCGTGCCTGTTAAACCGAATGATGAATTCGTTGGCCCTCAAGACCCAAGTGCTGACTCTAAGAGGGACCTGTCCAGCATTCTCGAGCTATCAGAACTAATGTAACCTCGCCGATACTGAAAAGGTCACAGCAGCGTCAGCTTGCAGGGATATGACGCACCGTAGGACATCCGATGTCCGACGGCATTTTCTCAGACTGGAAGAACAGGGAAGTATGAAATGATCTGGAGTTTATTCATTGCATTTGTACGTCAATGTAGAGAGTCCGCTTGGGGGTAATCGCCAGTCGCTTCAAAGTGGAAAGCTGCCATCATGAAACGAGGGATGTCCACGCCTGACCTTGACCAGTTTTCAAAACCTTAGAACTACCCTTATTTCTTTTCCGTCAACGAGGGATCCTCTTCCTCAAAAGTCTCACGGATCAGGAACTTTTCATCGTTGATATGGTGGTGTCGAAGCCAAAAGATGATGGTCTGGACGAAGAGAGCAATACCGGGAGCGGCCCAGGCCCACTGTGAAGGTTTGGTCAGGCGTTGGCCAGTCTTGGAACGGTGATACTCACAATAAGATTGGGATCTTTGATGGAAGGAATCAAGATCTGAGCCAATGCAGAAGATAGAGCCTGCATGGCCAAGTTGATCGCGACAACAGTAGACTTCATACCCTCAGGCGCCCTAGCATATGCCATCTCGTATGCCGTGACTGCAGTAAAGAGCTCACCAATCGCCCCCAGCATAACAGTTGGCAGCTGCCACCAGATAGAAACGGGTGACACACTATCGCAGGTTGAAGCCTGGTATCCACAAGGTGAGGTTTTGTATACCCTCCACTGGATAATTGCACCAACAACACTTCCGATGACTGCAGAGATGTAGCCGGCAGTCATGCGAGTAATGGGACCAAACTTGATGTGGTATCGGTTCAAGAGAGGGTAAAAAACAAACGACATGAGTGGTGCGAAGACCATCAGTGTGAGTGGATTGAAGTTGTGAATCAAATCATTTGGGGCACCTTTGGTAGTCATCGACGCGCCTTGATTAGACAATACTGTACCAACACCGCCGTCATTGAGGTAGAATAACGGCTGGTAGAGAAAGATCTGGCATGCAGACAGAGTTCTGCGCGCATGCTCGACTGCCTTACTATCCCAGGAAACAGTCTTTCCCTTGGCAGCAAGAACTGACGGCTTGACTGAGTCGAAGAAGTTCTTGGCCCAAACTCTACCTTTGTTCTCTTTGATAGCCAACCCAACGATCTTGAAGAAGTTATTGAGATCAGATCCTTGAGGCGGTACACGCTTGAGGGTTTTGTACCGCCACATGAGAAGCACTGGCAAGAGGATGTAGATGATGCCTGGGAGGAGAAAGGCTAGCCAAAAGCCAACGTACTTCTCGATGTAAGTTGTGGCGATCATGAAGAAAGCGCCGACGTTAATGCACATGTAGAAGATCAACATGATCCTCTGGATAGTCGTCTCGGGGTCAACGATGACACGCTCACCAGAATTGAGTGTCTTGACATGTTCTGTCTGGTCGGTGTATTGGTCGATGATGAGAGGAACAACATTAGGCTTGAACAGACCGGCTCCGACGGCTAGAAGAAAGAAGCTGACCATGAACGGCGCAAGTCCATTACCGGCTTTGAGGACAGCGGGAGCTGCGCCTCCAACCATGATAACGTGTGCCACGCCGCCGATGATGACTCCATACATGATGGCTCTGAAACGACCGGTCTTGGTATCGCCCAGCCACGCACCAAATATTGGGATGACATAGGCAAGGAAGTTGAATAGGAGAACCATGGCCGAGGCAAACTGTAAGCCTCGGTTTCTGCCATTAAGCTGGGTCAGTCAATAGTTCAGTCACATATCGAAGAAACTTACAAAGCACCAGCATGACCGTTGGGGTCATTCTTAGCAACAGCTCCAGCTCCATTGCCGCCCTTTGGCAGCGGAAACTGGAGAAAATTGTTGAAGACTGTCTTGCAACCATAGAATGAGGCTCGTTCTGCAAGCTCAACGATGCAGAGAAGATATGAAACCCATGGGATATGTCCTGCTATTTTCCGTAACTTCTGTTTCTCCTCGACGGTCGGGGGTAATCGATCCGAGGTGCTATCGGATAGGGACATAGCGTTGGCCTCAGGGTCGAGCGCTGGGCTCATGTCTTGAACAGCCTCTGAGGTTGCTAACAATAATTTATTAGTCGTGCTTCGATTTGGCCCGGGGCTACTCACCCATCTTTTAGCTGATAATAACCGCTCGAAGAAAATAGACTACCAGGGCTTGGGATTGCACAAATGCATGAGCGTGTGGACTAGATATCTTGTTTATGACGGTTTCGTAACACCATGTTTCGCCCCTGGAGTGATGTCGCCATCATCTCAATCTTCACACCATCGACAAATTACATAAAAAGAGGACCTACTGTGGGTTTTCTAAGTTCCAAGCGACCAATTTTGACTGCATTAGGAACTGTTGGCTTGACATATGGGTTTGGAAGGAGTATCTAGCATTGTTGGCCACGATGTCGGAGTCGGGCCGCCCCGATCCCACGTTACAGTCCGGGAAGTGGGTAATGAGTTGTTAATGCGCATACCGCCAATCGTCGAACTGCCAGGGAGTTCGTGGGAGGAAGTAAAAAATAGTTCGGGGATTCCGAATAAGGTGCGAAAAGGTTCAAGAAGAATGGAGCAAACAACACTACGAATCGTGTATTGGCCGGGCAGAGGGCTTGCATCTGAGCATTGACGATAGCGATCGTTACAGTGGAGTACACTTAACTTTAACCTAGCTCCGTATCTTGTCAATCTTTGCTGTTTTCATATAGCAATTGCAAGGAGAGCCGGGTTTCCTACCATATCAGTGGGTTCTGTGCGTCTAACACCACCTTCGCGCGATATTGTGCCACCGGCGTACGGCTAGAACGGCACCTCAAACTTTGCCATCAATATAAATTCCCATATACGGATATACTAGGCCTATCTGTAGACTGGTTATTCCTCGCGCTAGGAGGAGATTCTGTTTTGTTCTAATGGAAAGGTACTGGGAGTTTCAAACAGTCCCCCGAAGAACAACTGAACAAGCCAGTGTGTTTGGCCCTGGAAATACCGAATCCTTACGGTGGATGCATAGTGGGTGACAGTGCTGTAGGCCCACCCTGAATGCGAGAAGCAACTTAAGGCGACTTCGATTATCTAGGTAGTAGGAAATCAACACCATGCCGACATAGTAAAGTCTGTTCAGTAAATAAAAGCCTAGTATAAGAAATGTCTCTTTATTTGGCACATCACCACTCAAAATGTGTCCGGTGTGTAGTCAGCCATGGAATCAATCTATGTAGTTGTTGTTCATAGTCAATACGTGCTTTCACATTGAGCCATGGAGACATCCGAGATGTATCATCGACCTGGCATGCAACCGAATGGGCTTTTGTGGAAGAATAACCAAGGTTTATTTAAGTATCTAAGCTCCTAGCAAGCAAAGTACCTATGTTATTCAGATCCCCCATCCCTAATGTGCTTAAAGTTCAACTGCTTGAGCATGTTATTTTCAACACAAGTGAAATTGCTCTTCCAAGCACTTCAATATTCTCCCAAGTGACCGGGGGATGTGGTTCTGGAGGGCTGAGGAGGAGGAGGGTCAGGCTTTGGGCACGGCTTAGGAGGTCTGGGTCGAGCTGGAGCAGGCATGTTTTCTAATTTACGCGAGTGAGATTAAAGTCGTTGGTTGGGCTGTTGAATGTTGAAGGCTAGGATGTTGTTTTCGTGTGATTTGGAAAAAGAAGAAACGCAAATTCCCAGTCGAAGAACCTTGCTTTTATAGGCATCACTCTTGTTGAATCACGGGGACTGGCAGTATAGGGCTGCGTTGCTACTTATCACTGGCAATTTCAGTGAAGTTGCAAGGTGTCATGGATCAGAGAGCGTGAAAAATAGATATCGAGAATGTATGGCCTCTAGTACTAACACTATAAGCTTCAAGTATTATCACGATCGATAAGTGAGTGCCTTGATGTGAATGAGTTTGCATTTTGACTAGGCTGCGACAAGTTGCCGGAACTCAAGCGCAAAAGAAAAGTGTCAAACCATCAACGTTGAATCGCGTGGCAGCACTGGAGGTAAAGTAATTGCTATTGACAAGAAGTGAATGCTGCTGGTACGAAGGACTTGCATGCCTAAAACTAAAATGATGACCATCAGACCACCAGTGTGGTGCAAGTATTGAGTGTTGGTTTCATCATGTCCAGGGCCCCAGGAACAAATCTAACTGTAGAATACTACCAATTATGCTCCATGTATTTCTCCTCTCGACACCGATCAATCTAGTCCTTACCATATTGTGATATTTCATCTTTGTTATGGTTAAGCACGCACAGAAATGATATATGGGGAATGACATGTCAGCGATTTCTTGGTTGGCCTTGACTAGCTCTGGAATTCCTCATACCTATTTAGCAGTTCATATACTCACCCCTATGAGCTATAGTACAAGCAGTAATTAAAAATGTTTCAAGCCTCAGAGCTTTCAGTCGGTTATTAAGGGCACTAAATATCATTCTATTATTCATTCCAGACAATCTTGCTCCAGTTCTTCTGACATCGCTATCCTGTGCATCTCTCTGACCTTCTCTTTCATCCTTCCCTTCACGTCAATACACTCGCAGGCAAGAGCCAGTTCAGCAAATTTTATTTCCGGCATTCTCTTGCCTTTCTTCTTGGCCTTTGAAACCTGCTCGTATCTCCATGTTTTCATATCTCGCTCAAATACTGTGGCATGGCATGGTCCATCGAACTCAATTCCGTAACTGTAGTTTGAATCGGCTGGCAAGACTCTGCTACAATGTAGGTGATCCTCGAAGCCTTCAACCTCCTTTATCTTGACAAGTGTGATGTTCTGACAGGGTGTAAAGCCTGCAAATAAGTCTCGATAAGCAGGAAATTCTGTAAGCGCAGCGTGCATCATGTCATTGGCTTGAAGACCAAATGCCAAGGCCCAGAAAGGATTGTTTCCAAGTTTCCACTTTTGCTGGCTTTGGAATACTTTCTCGACGTAGAGGGTATCATATGGGCTGCAGTAGCCATATGGTATTATACCATGCTTATCAAGATTGAACGCTGTGTTTAGGGGGAACCGCGTCATGGACAAACTCGCAACGTAGCGTGATTGCTTAGACACTGAAAATGCAATCGGTACAGGAGGACATTTTATGCTAAGATATCGGCCCTGGGGGTGGACAAGTGCAGGGACGAACTGTATTTATTCGACGTAGTGCACCCGAGAGCTAGGGAGGGTATATTCCCAGATGAGACGCTGAATCACGGGGTCCAGCTTCTGAAATTGTGGAAACAGAGGACCCTTGTCGGGAACAAATAGAGATGTTGCATGCTTTCGTGCTTCGGGAGACATTCTGATGGTATCTTGAAACGACTTGTGACGGTTAGTCGGTGTTGAGTGTGAATCGGTGGTTGGGTAAGAGACAGGAGAATAAAAAGAGATAAGTATATAGTGATTCGAGTGGAGGCACTATCACGATTCATAAGTAAACAGATGCTATTGTTGGTGAGCATAACCAAGTCATGGAATGTGAGTGTTCAGACACTAGTATTGAGGCTGCGCATGGAGAACATTCAGGGAGTACTGAACATGGGGACTGGTCAGTTAGCTAGCCACCAAGTTCATGTTATTTGAACAAAGAGCCTTAAGCTTGTTCACTGATACTGTCTACTCGACTGTTCACAACCATTGACTGACTGCTTTTTCTTTTTCTGGATTGAATTAGTCAATAAATGCACGGGCACTTCATCTTTGTTCTGCCGAGGTTTGCGAAGCAGCGAAGGCTTTATCTACCAAATCCTTTGAATAACGCCAATGCTGCTACATGTCTCATGAAATAGAATTGCCATAGTGCTGATGGATTGGTTAGGCGAAATATTGGTGCTGGAAATACTGAGTGAAGTATAGGACCTGGCACAGTATCCAATACCGTGAAAGGAGCTTCTAAATTTTGGTGCATCATCTCAGGCTACAGAGTCGCCAGTGGATATTTTCAGACCCAAGCTCTACATAACCATTGGTATATAGAATGGTATATGGTAAGGCAAATAACTGTTTGGGTGGGTAGGCCATTCTCCGCACTCTCAACTCAGTGGCATCTACATCCCACTGGAACAAAACAGGGGGATAAGCCTGCCCTGGCGTAGGTGCCTAACCAGGGAGCTTTGGGGGAAATCATTTTCATTTGGATGCCGCCCCCGGGACGTGTTGTAACGTGAGATAAAATATTAAGCGCCTGACCAAAGACAATCCTTACCAAATTTCATCTGGCAGGATCATGTTCCTGGGCGTATCCCTTAGCGCTTACACTTAAAAATTTGTCCAGCAACAGGAATATGGGCAAATTGACAAATGTGGATTGGCTTAGCAAGGGTAGAACTAACCGATGCAACTCATCTCCAAATGGGACATCGGAGCTGACATAAAAGCCTCAAAACTCCGCGCCCTGCCACCATTTGGCAGGGCTGAAATGGTGGTCCAGAACGTGAGATCCCTGTTTGAGGCTGTGCTATGAAACGTGGAGTCATGCATTTTGCCCACATTGTTGGTTTGCCAGTCATTCATCGGGTTCTGGGTCGTCGGTGTGCTGCTGCTTCAAGCACTGTAATATCTCGACTTCGGCCAGCTGTGGCTATCGTATGCTTCGGATCCAGACTGAGACATGCTTCTGTCCACGTATCTGCGATGTCTCTGGCAATGCCATATTGAATTTGTTTCCTGCCATGTTCAGCGGGGAGTGGAAGCTGCTGGGATCCCGCTCCTACACACGGCCATGCCTCAAGTGATCAATTTTGCCCAGTTTGGAGTCTCTACTCCCTGTCCACCTGTGACTTATAGCCCCCACTGTGATAACATGCATGGAGATGGGGTAGGTAGGCTACATTCATAAATACACAGCCTGCCCACCTCTTTGTCTTGCAATCATATGTTGTCCATCCTGCTGCGATCGAGGAACCATGGCCGAGAGATCGATACCACAATCGCAGCCTCAGTACGAGCCTGTTGAGTCGGAAGAACATGAATTGCATCACCTAACGCAACACGACGATACTGCTTTCGGGAGAGCATCAGCCGGCGGAAACAAAAATGCGGCTCTATTCTCCTCCGACAGCCTGGAGGGACAATCCGTGAAGGCAAACCCATCGAGTTGGAGACTGAAGACAATCTTGAAGAAATGGCGCATGCAAGCCCTCGAAGCATCGATCCAAAAGAAGAAGAACCGGCAGGTACCCATCGTCAAAGACCGCCTCACTGCAATATTAGCTGCTCTGGTTCATCTCCCTGCCATCGCTGGCATTATCACGTTGAGCTTCTACATTTTCAAGAACTATTACATCGGCAAGGAACTCGAAGGCAAGCCTAATTACGATGTCGAGAAGAAACTCGGTATCCAATTTGCTGCGAAGCTCATGGAAATGTTCATCGTGCTGTCACTCAACGCCATCGTCTTTTCCATGATCCGACACGAGTTTACGATGGGCCAGTCTGTTCCATATGGCGCTCTGGTGGCTGGACAGCAAATATCTGAGATCAGCTTCTTGTGGTCTGAGGAGTTCTTCAGCATTGTCAAGGGGAAGTTCTCTCAGACCTGGAAGAAGATCGGCTTCATAATTACAGTGTTTGTTTGTACGATCATGGCACTGGGTGCCTCTTCGCTCAGTGCTGTTGCCATGATGCCGCAGGAGGGTGACTGGAGAGCGGGCGGCAGTTTCGTTTACTTCAATGGTACCAGAGATGAAATGTTTCCTGCCGTCCTGACAGAAGACAACACAATAGGATCTGCCTGTAATGTTACCGGAAATGAGCGTTGCCCTTCTTGGCAACGGGATGTCATCAACAGCCAGCTCATCTCTAAGCTCCCTCTATCAGGTGAAGTGGACAATGGCTTGTTCATCAGACGACCACCGAGCGAGATTCTGGTCGCCGGATACTCTTCGACGCTGGTAAATCTCGTAGTGGATGTCAGAGAGAAATGGTTCAACCTGAACAGCCCAAACCATACCGTTGCGAGGATGCCGCATCTTGGACCCGCGGAAGCTTGCATCACAACGTCACTGCACTGGGAACAGGCTGCGGACGATTCGGCCAAGAGAAAACAGACTCGATTCAACAACTTCCAAAAGCTTGCCCACAAGCTCAATGCACCAATGCCAATCACCAACACGAGATGTGAGCTGACGTCCGTGACCGACGCCAAAGCAAAGACAATCATGTTTCCCGACTTTGTGGCCTTCCCGCCAACAACGCTCAACGTCACAAATGATGTCGTGAGCGACTGGCTATCAGACACTCTGCCAGATTTGAAGAAACCCGAAGTGCTGTGGTTTGACTCGGCACCAGTAATTGCCAATAGCTCTGTTGGTGTCGTGGTCGCTGTTCCATCCAACAAGTCACGCGAGGCAGCTGATATTTACGGATGCATGATCGATGCACGGTGGATTACCACTGAGCTGAGTGGCGATGCAGTTTCGCTCGCCAGCAAAGGATACCCGCCATTCTCAGGGCCTATTGCCACAGCACTCGGGGGCTCATGGATTGGGAGTCCGGGTTACGGTCAGCGCGTCCATCTCGCACCGAGCTTCGCCAAATACCTTAACCCTCTTGATTCAAGAACGAACCGAACCGTCATGCACGAAATGCTTCTCAATAGCGGCGTATGGACAAACGATGGCAAGGGTTCCAAGTCTACGGCGCATCTGGAGGCAGTTCTTGGATCGTTGGCGGCTAACGGCTTGGGCCGATCGACTCCAAACGTCACTGCTATCACAACCTTGGCTGACCCCAATGGTGAGTGGTGGAGAAGCTTCATGCCGCAGGACGGCAAGGTGTTTGGTCCTGGAGGCAGCCCATATGCTGTATCAGACGATGACAAGGCACGTTTCTTCAGTGCAGAGATGGAGACATGGGTGACTGGCTTCGCGTTTGCTGACAACAGCTTGACCATGCGCGGAGCCATGGCCGTCTTTTACGTCTATGCATTGCTTGTCATTGCATACTCGATCTGGTCCATCTGGTCAGGCATTACTTCATCTTCATGGGAGTCGGTGCCGGACCTTCTCGCTCTCGCTCTCGCGGATCGAGCATCGGGATCTGATCCCGAAGGATTTAGCAAAGGAAGTCCCGATATTATGAAGGAAAACTTTTGTATTTCTGCCGACGGAAATACGCTGAGGCTGAGGGCGACTCACGGCCTGGTGCCGCCTGAGAACCGTGTCAAGGCTAATGAAGCCTATGATTGAGTAGGGGATAGAACTGTACACGATATGGATGGGATTTGGTTTGGGCCGCAGTAAATATACGACGTGTTTTCTCTCTTCTCCCTTGACACTTGGCGTCTCGATCGCCAGTCGAGGTAAACAAAAGCTGAATCTGAGACTTTTGCGTCACGGATAAGTCTAGCTGACAGTCTCGCAATTGCATTGACATTCGTTCATCACTTCCCGACAAAGCTAGACCACAGACAGACACTAATACAGAATATGCACGCTACGTGCTTTTATCTCTGTGGTATATCGCGATCTGGTTAACCTGGCCTGGCTCTTTTATTCGCCGCCAAACACCAGATTCATCTTGTACAACCCTAACAGCGGAGAGGGGATCACAACCGCTGCCGCCCCCTCCCAAGCGCCCTATAACACAGCGCAGGCTCAATCCTGTCTTGGCTGCTTGTGAGCCATGCCGTAAATACAAGGTCAAGGTACTTAGGCGCCCCGTATCTCGAGCGGGGTGTGACTGACTGACCGCCATCGTTAGTGTTCTGGAGAGAGGCCAGCATGTCGTCGCTGTCTTTAGCGCAAACTCGCCTGCATCTATATTACGAGACCAGGCGAAACTCGCTCACAAGCACTAAACCGCTGTTCTCACGAGACCTGTGAGGGCTCGAGTCAACGCTCAAGTGTCTACGAGGAACTTATCGGGCTGCTGCAGAACTTACCTGATCAGGATGCCCAGGCCTTCTGCAAAGACTCAGGTCCGGAACAGACGCCGCATCAGTCGCCAATCAGGCCAGAGTAGGTAATGTATTACTTCAGATGGCCGTCGTTCCCGAGACGCGATTACGATATGAGTTCCCGTACAGATCGGAGATGCCCAAAGTGCTTGAGGTCAACAATCCTTATCTGAACTCAATGCTGTATGAAGCAGCCTCTCTCTATTCTCAACACCAGACATCAGGGGCAAACCTATCCAGACATCTCGCCGGTCTGGGCTCCGAAGAGCAGAGAAGCCCTTACTTGAAGCCCTTCCATGCAGCACAAGTATTCGATCCTCTGCTTTCTGACGTCAAAGTCTCAGCGTGGACTAGCGTCTGTGGCGACGACAATCTCATGCGAGACCTTTTAACTGTACTTTTCCGTTGCGAGTACCATTTCACAGCAGCCTTCCACAAGGACCTATTCCTGGAAGACATGGCAGCGCGTCGCAAAGACTTTTGTTCTTCACTGCTTGTCAACGTGACTCTCGCATATGCTTGCGTAGGATACCACTCATAATGGCGTAGTCAACATTGCTGAGATGCTTATCAGGTCTGTTATCCTAAGTTCACCAACCGTGTCGAGTATTGGAATCCGAACACTCTCGCCTATCGCTTCATTGCCGAGGCCAAGCGACTATGGGAGCTGGAGGCTTCTATCCCACGTATGACTACCATTCAGGCAGGTATCATTTTTAGTGTCTTTCATAATCTCTGTGGTCTGGACGAAGTTGGGAAACCCTATAGGGTGCATGCAGTGGCTTTGGCAAACCAGCTTCGTATCTTCGACACCATCGACTTTGACCAGAGCAAGAGGGTACAGAGGGGTGTTCTGGCCTGGGCTATGTACAACTGGGAAACGTGAGTCCCTTTTCACAACTTTGGCCGCGTACTAACGACAAGAGTCTCTCTGCTTTCTCGTTCATGCTGTCCCCGCTCATCAAGGAGCTCCCAAAATGGCCACTTCCAGATCCTTCAGAAGATCCGTCGTGGTATGGCGAAATATGGGTCAAATACCCACTGGATCACGGCCTTTCATCGATGTGTCTTGGAGAAGTCATCCATGCTCGGAGCCGGTTCCGGATCATCATGAATGAGTATTGCGACGCAGCATACTCAGAGGCTTCCAAGGTAGGAGTTGACCTGGCCTATCAGTTCCGTGGGAGGCTGCAAGAATGGTACGAAAACCTGCCCACATCTCTAACCCCAAAGAGAATTGTTCTTCCTAGGCAGATGCAACTTCAGTAAGTGCTCAATGTGCTGCCTTTCACTTTCAGAGTTCAACGTGGCTTTAGTATGGATGAAGTGAGTTGCTGACGGCGTCGCAGTATGTACTATCACCACTTACTATTGACGATCTTCGAGCCCCTTTGTGATGCAGAAACGACTCGAGAGCCTTCTCCGCAGCGCATCGTAACTGAATCAAAGAGGAACATGCAGACACTTGTCAGACTATACTACCTCAGACATGGGTTCGAAGTCGCTGGCCAGTGAGTGTTGTTAAGAGGCATGAGGAAATGGAGTCGCACATTCTGACCAATCTCGTGGAGAGTTTTGGTCGTGTCAATGTTGAAGAAATCCCATTATGTCTTTTGGGCCGGGACGATGGAGGGATGGCAGGGAATGGATGTAAGAAGGAGCTACGTACACGATATTGAGAAGCCCTAAGCTTTCGTCATTTTATATGAATCAAGGCCTCCTTTGATTCTATATTGTCCTGGGGAACATCGAAACCAAGGAAAGTGTTGACAAAGCAAGACAGAAGGCGCGCCAGCGGGATACACTGCCTACTAATGCTTTGACGACGCTTTGTATTGACTAAATAGCTAGGTGAAAATGATTTCCTCCCTTCAGCCATGGGAGCTTTGTTCACCCTCACTCGCCATGACAGATGTAGCCGAGGAATTTGGGCAGCTTATGACACAGTCCTTTCAAGCACATCGTCGATAGCCTCCTTCTGAAGTCCAATTTCGTGCAACTTCTTCACCTCACTGACGTCGACCTTGCTTTCAAAGTCCCCTCCACTCCCCTCTCGGAAATGCGTAAGGAAGAACTTGACAAATGGGGCAGCGGCATCTTTCTGCTGAATCTTGCCATTACAATCTTTCATTGCATCGTTCACATCTTGGTAGTCTATCTCCCAGTCCTGGTCCGCCGTCCCTGTTGCCTTCTGAACTGCTAGCAGAAGCTCCTTCTGGCTCAGACGAAACGATGGCACATAGAAAGCCTTGTTCTTACACCGGGACAAGTCCCGTCCAGGGAGGCTCAGTACTGCAGCCGTAGCCTGACCGGTCTGTGCAACACTCGATGTGTTGACCTTGCCAACGGCTCCGGTCCAAATTGTAGCTTTGCGGTTCGCAACATCGATGCCCCAAAGACCACTTTTGATGTTCATGTCGAGAAACGGGCCGACGGCTACTGAGATCCAGCTGCTCACACCGAGTTCCTCAATCAGATCGCGGATCTTCTGCTTGTCTTGCAGTAGTTGATTATCCTCTATGAGCTTTGACGAGAAAGGGTCTGGGCCAAACTCTGCAGGTAGGATATATGGAACTCCAGCTTTTGCTGCTGCTCGAACTGCTGGCTCTTGCAGACTGACAAGGTGGGGGAGAGGTGGCATGAGCACGACAGCATCGTGTCCTTGGAAGGTGCTCGCCAAGAAGAACTCGTCTTTCAGATCACCATATGTGACAATGACTTCAGGCGGGAATGTGCTTGTTGCTTCGATGCGTTGGACAGCAGTAATAGTGTGAATGCCAGGTGCGAGAAGAGCCTTGACTGTCGGCTGTCCAACCTGGCCGCTGGAGCCGATAATGGCGATTTTGCGTCCTTGTGCTTGTCTTGACATAGTAGACTGAGATGGTTCTGTGTGGGCTTTAACTTCTTCGCTCAAGGGCTGTCGCTCAAATACTTTATTCTTTTCTCCTCCGACGCCTCTAGAAATATACGTCATCGATCTACGTCGTGTTCGATTTACGAAGCCGCAATAGCCTCAGATAGGATAGTAGTTCTGAACGCATGAAAAGAGAACAATGGAAGCCAAAACTACATTCACATATATAATCGGTCAAGATTACCAATGATCGATAACTCTATGGGGTGATGTTCCGAAGAGACCTCTGTCTTGAAGAGAAGTGATGAGAATTGTTAATGAAAGCGATGAAAACGAGCTGAGACGACTTCTATCTCCACCATTCTCTTGCGTATAGATGAGTACCCCGATGCCCCCCACCTTAACATTCGCTAACGGGTATGCTCATGCCCCGCCTTGGGTCTGCTCTGATGCGGGGATGACCATTCGGGTTGATGGCAATGCGTTAAGTCCGAACTCATGATATAAAGGCCGATCCCTGCTTCATAACCTCCGTTTAATTACAAAATTCACATTGCTTCGAAGCCTTGATATATCACGCCCCAAGCCATTGTCTGATAAAGTAAAAATGTCTCCAACCGACGTCTTCAGCCCGGGCTCTACTGCATTGATCACTGGAGCTGGCTCAGGCATCGGTCTGGCCATTGCCAAAACATGTCGCGGCAAGGGCATGCGCACATTACTCGTCGATAACAACGAGGAAGCTCTGGAGGCTTTGACTAAGACGCACTTCCCCAATGACTCTGACGTCGTTACCTCCAAGGTTGATGTCTCATCGACCTCGGACTGGCAGGCTCTGAAAAAGCTCGCCTTGGACAAGTTTGGCAGCATCGAGTTCTTGGTCTTGAACGCTGGTCGAGGTTTGAGGGGCACCTGGGGAGACGATGATTACTTCAGAGATGTAGGTTTGAGAATGCAATGGCGCGACAATTGCTAACAAGCAAGACCCTCGAAACCAATTTATTCGGTGTCATTCATGGTATAAACACGTTTCTCTCCGTGGTCCAAGACGCCGCCAAGTCAAAGCCAACGAGCATCGTCATCACTGGCAGTAAGCAGGGCATTACCAACCCACCTGGAAATCCAGCATACAACGCCTCCAAAGCTGCAGTCAAGACTCTTGCTGAGCATCTGAGCTGGGACCTGAAAGACACAAGTACCAGCGTGCATCTTCTTGTGCCGGGATGGACTTACACTGGTCTGGTAAGAAAATACGGCCGTGTTTAGGACAGCTTACTGACAACGCTTGCAGACAAGGGCAACGCCGGGTGGTGTGAAGCCAGCTGGGGCTTGGACAGCGGAACAGGTGGCAGATTATCTGTGTGAGAAGATGGAGAAGAACGAATTCTACATCATCTGCCCTGACAACGATGTTACTGAGGAGCAGGACAAGAAGCGTATGACTTGGGCTGCAGGTGATGTTGCTCAGAGACGGCCGCCTCTATCTCGATGGCGTGAGGAGTGGAAGCAGGAAGCTGAAGAAACCATGGCCAAGATAGATGTCTAAGATAGGGCTCGAAGAGGTGACCAATTTAAAAATATATAGATCTCCCGTCATTAGTGACAGTTGAATGAGCTACTCTGCACCTAGTGTGAATCAATTGAGTGCTCAATCGACAGTGTCATCGTGTAGCCCAACACGAGTCTGCGATATCAACCAGTAAGTAGATCGACTTCGAATTCTTTGTCATAGGTAACAAACAATGTCTCACTAGAATGCCAGACAAGGATAGCTCCACAATCCAGAGGCTCTTATGAACGATGTCGTAGAGTCGTGTATCCGCCAAAAAGTCAAAAAGTTCGTCAAAGACACCCTGACAAACCAACCGTCAAAAGGTTCGATACACCAGGGACTCGAACCCTGAGCCTTAGTCTTAGGAGGACTACGCGCTACCATTGCGCCAGCGCACCGGAGCTATTTTTAGAGATAATTGTGTCGTATTCACAAATATGTAGATGTTGTGACTGGAGCTTCAGGTTTGCGCCACCAGGTCAAACTTTGGCCTCGAATTGGGGTTTTCAAGCAAATCGATGTCTAGTACTGGCCAGTTCTATCTATTCTGGACTCCTGAAACAGCAGTCTCTTTATCTGATATTGGATGTCATGCGAATGCTGTCAAACTCCACTGTGGACCGAGGTAGAAGTGGCGTGGAGCCTCCAGCAAAAGCATTGATCAAACTAAGAAGGCCAATACTCGAATTGAATTGAAGCAGTCGAGATTACCAATTTGTCAACGCCAACATGTCCTCAAGATTGCATTCTCTCAATTGTGGCAGGCAACTCCTCCATCCCCTCCAGAAAAGCACCAAACTCTCCCTTCACCTTGTCCATATCCTCATCAACATCATCGGTCCAACGATGAATGTAAATCGTCTTGATTCCAACATTTTGAGCTCCTCGCAGATCGTGCGCGTGAGCCGCAACCATCACAACTTCTTCGGGCTTGAGCTTGACGAGTCGCAACGCTTTGTTGTACGCCTCGGGATCTGGCTTGTACGTCCCCAACAGTTGGCTGGAGAAGAGCATGTTGAAATTGAGCCCAGCGAAGCGAGTCAGGTCTAGCTGCAGACGTGTTGTGCCATTGGCGTGAACAAAGACTTCCAGACCAAGATCTTTTCGGATCGACTGGATTGCCTTTGCAACTTCTGGCCAAGCTGGCTGAGAATGCCAGGCAGTAATCAATTGTTCTTTGATTGGCGCATCGAAATGTTGCTTATACTCTGGTAAGTCTTCCAGTACGTTGTCAAGCGTACGAATGAGCGTATCGTCTATATCTTCGGGCTCAAGCTTCTGGGCAAGGCGCTCGCTGTTGGCGATGAAGTAACGTCGCCGCCATTCAAGAGCAAGTTGGGAGGCTTCGGCTTCGGGAATGGCGGGGGGTAGAGCCTGCACGACACTACTGTGCCAATCGAGGCATGTCCCCATGAAGTCAAAGAAGACTGCTTTTATCTTTGTTGGCTGTGACATGATGCTGAAGCTTTCCAAGTTATTTCAATTATTGCAATTATGACAATGCTACTAGAGAGAATTTAGCATATAAATATTGGAAGCGCTGCGCATGTTTATTCAAGATGTTGGCTTACGATATGACGTGATTAGAGATCATAAAACGACCTGCTTCTTTCGCTCACGGCGGTACGCCCTTTGAATGATTGGTTACATCATAAAGTGTAGTCATCAGTCAGCTCAAGATTGACACGATAGGGAGAGCATCAAATTTCTCAATATTTCGAAGCTTCATTGGATTCGAGTCTGGTTCCATCAATTAATATAAATTCTTTGTGAAAGAATTATTCCTCCACAGGTTTGTTATTAAGAGATTAGCTAGAACACCATGGCAGAAATATGCTTATCCACTTGCAATAACTGGAGGTAGAGATAGCTGGTGGTTCTGAATGATAACATCCCATAACGCCGACAGCTCCCCACTTGGAAGTTTGTCATCTTCCTTGATCCTTCGAATATCATGAAAGAAACTGTCTCCCTGTTGCCTTAAAGTCCTTGGTATTGTCTCCATGTCAGGGAAGTTGAAGAAAGCCACGATGGAGACTTTGACTTCATTCCCACTGATGTCAACATCGTGAAAAGTCGGGATAAACTCATTGGCCCAGCGGTAGAGCGTTGAGCCACCCATCATTATGGTGCCTTTATGTCCGGGAAATCGCACTCTTCCGTCGAGGTCATAGACCCGAAGTCCTGGCCCATTTGTGATGAGCGCAGAGAGAAGATTGCCATCTGGATGAAGACCAATGCCACCAGGAGCACCAGCATGGGGCGTGTACTTGATAGCACGATAGCGAACCGTACATCGCTGCACCAATTCAGGGTCAATGCCTACAGCCATACTAGTTGTTACCAAAGCACTGTCGAGCGCAGACTTCAGACAATGCGCCGATTCTCGAGTTCTGGCATCATGTAACGCTTGAAGACCCGTAAGGCCATCTTTGAGATCACCGTCAAATTTGGCAATATCGGTCTCAGAGTCCAGGAAAGGATGTCCAATTCCCTGACTGGCAAACCAGCAGGACTTGCGCCATACCACTTTCTTATCAGTACCCTCGTAGGAGAGCGAGTGATCGAGATCGCTGAGGTACGTGCCGAGGTCTTGCATTGCTTGTTCAATACGTTGTTCTTCTTGGCTGTCCCAAGGGACTACATATTCTTTGCCTGCCTTGAAGGCAGTTTGGATAGCATGGCTTTCTTTTGCTGGTTAAATCTCAGCTTCATAAACCTCTGCAAGAAATTGGTGCACCACCTACACATTGCTCCTGTTTGAGACGTAATTGGCTGATCGAGGCTCGCGTGATGACTGGAGCCGGGTGTCATAGAATCGAGCATAGACATGGTTAGGTTGGATATGACTGAGGGAAGCTGGTATGTCCATCAACGTCCAGCGGATAATTGTTTATTTAATCCTGCTAGGCCATGCTCACCCTAGTCTAGCATCACCCGCCAAACCTCACTACCGTGTCCGTCCTAATGCGTGTCTCACTGCATTCGTCTTCTATCCACTTCATACACTTTCGGCACAACGCCACACCGCGACGATCGTGGAACTATGCTGAACTGCCGGTTTCCCCGAGTCACAGATGTCATTGTACAGCTACATACATGTCTACCCTGTGTAATGCGAACCCCGCGTTCGGCGTTTCTTACTGTGCGGCCTCGGCGATCTCTTTTAGTACCACGTCAATGCTGTCCATTGTCAATGACCGTATGTGTACATCCCTGCTTTTGAAGAGTTCTGCCAGCCTTGGGCAGTATGATTCTAAACCCTCTGCTAATTGTGCTCTGGATAGTGCCTGTCCATTGTCTGGTAATCCATATTGAAGTAGCCAAACTTGCTTGTCTGGAGGGTCAGTTGTCAGCTTTGAACAGACTGAGATCATGTCTCTCTTTGCACTCACCGCTTCTGAGACTCATCTCCCATTCCCATCGATGAATGTCATCTGGATTCGTAAACCTGTCCCAGTCACCTGGGGCAGCGAGAATAATGATTTGAGACACGGACAAGAATGTGTTGGAAATCCTTTTGGTCACTTCTCCAGCTTCCGTGCTTCTTGTCATCTGGTGTTGGTCAAGCCATATACGACGGCTCTTCTTTTCGATCATCTCGGCGACCAAGCGCGCCATGACTCGACCTCTTTCGTATAAATCTGGGGATAACCATCGGTAAAAAATTATGTAGTCATATGCGTATGCTGTTTCCACGCCTGCTTGCTCGTGTCAGTCGGGAATCTGAGTCGTGGCCGGCAATTGAACTCACCCAGACAGCTCATGGGCAAAGGGAAGTGAGCCTCCACGGCAATAGCCGGCTTAACACTCAACATTTCCGCCTTGTGTTGTCTCTGGCCTTGAAATGAGTAGCCTTTACTGCATGTATAAACAATTATAAACGCAAAGTCGAACCCATGGAGATTGAGGCATAAAACAGATGTTTAATATTCTTGTCCATCTAAAGTTCTCATTTCTCTATCTTTCTTTTCTTATACAGCTGCCCTGCAGTAACGTACACGGTACATATGCCGGAACCGAGAAACTTTACAGCCGGCATATGCACTGACTTCAGCAACCTCAAGGTCACAGATCATTGCTTTTTCTGTGACATCATTCCAATCCCGGTTTTCCTCATCCAATCCAGTAGCGAAAATGGAGAGTACGGGATGATTGTGTCTCAGCTGCACACGATCTTTTACCGCTTCGAGGCTGTTGTCTTACGCTGTACGCCAGCCACTTTCAGGTAGACGGGTCAACCCGTGCATTAGTGTATGCAGAACGCCATACAATGGGTAACGCGTAGCAAACTGAGTTCGCTTTGTGGAAGGCGGATTACGGAAGCTGAGGGATCTGCAAACTGTATCTGAGCGCTTTGCGGTGTAGGATCTAGATGGAGGAGATGAACCGTTGATCGATCCAGGAGCTTCAGCTGTCGTGGGGCAACGTGAACCAACGATTCGCCCCTTGGCAGAACCAGGACCCAGGATCAACAGCGTCTTGCTACTGCAGTTTTGAACTTCGAGTGTGCTTGAGAGTTCAAGGGAGAGTTTATTTTGTCGATCCAGTCTTTCTGGACATGCAGGAGTGCAAGTCTCTGAGGAATAATGTTTGCGCGGCACCCTTTAGGGTAGCACCTCATTTCTCACCATGATCTTCACATGGACAGCCAATGGTCGTGCACAGTGAGTTGATGATGTGACTATTACGAATGTCATGGTACAAATTAAAAACTATTATTATAGATGGTAGTAGAAACTAGCATGGAAGAGAGTGTTTGTGATAGTGTGATGAAGGGACTGGAGCTTCCCTTGTGACAGTTATGTGACCATCTCGGAAGAAATATCTTTCCGGCCAAATATTCGGATTATTATTGGTATTCTCAAACATACAAGAGTGCGCTGTGCTCACCATTGTTTCTCCCAGTCATGTACGGCCTTTTCGCAATATTGGGCTTCTCCCATGCAAAGCAGCTCCAGCCAGCTCAAGGCCGGGATCAGGTCTCGATGTTCAAGAATAGCACGTGGGCAGTCATTTTGACCGCTTGGTCGCCCGACAAACGAATCAAGGTTGCGATTGACCAAGACTCGATGTCTCAAATTACGGTCTATTTTCCGAGACGTCATCAATATCAATTTTGAGGCCCGGGTAAGCGGTGTCTAGCCCGCCATTAATTCACCGTCGTGATTTTTCATTCAAATGCTAGACTCTGGAGTGAAGTTTGGGTATTTCTTTCTCATTGACAGATGTCGGTGACTACCATAGTCTCCTACCTGCAGACAGGGGAATCATACAAGGGTAAACAACTGCCAAGGAACCGGCAGATAAGGCTGGTAAAATGTAGCCACGGTCTGGTCTATGGTCAATATTTATCCCACTCACTCATTCACTCATCTCGCGAGTCAAACCCCATCACGGAAAGTGGGCGCATGCTCAATTACCGCATTCGGCCTCCAATGAGTCCAATCATCAGCTGGAGTCAAGTTCCCATGTCTTGAACAGGGCTTAGGTAATGTTGACGCAGAGACTTACGCGTCAACTGAAGCGATTATTGATCAGAAAATTCACCAATTTCAAGGCTACGCTCCTTTAGAGTTTGCTAGCTTTGCGGGATGACGAAGGTGGTCGGGTCAAAATGCGCGCCCACTTCGCGGCTCGGAGCCGAAATCGATCGGTACATCACATTCAGATCAGACCTGAAGTGATTGAGTTCGGCAGATGAACACAGACATACCTGATCAACAGGTTCAGTTGTATCTAAACTATAATATTCGTATCAATAGTCTATCTCTATTCAGGACAATGCATCATCGATGCCCTACTCACTAGACTAGCAGCATAACTTACAGGCCTCAGAATGCCCTTGCAAAACACTCCCGTCTTTGCCGTTACTTGTTTTCCTCTCACAGCTAAAACGTTAGGCCCATCGCTGCAGATTTCAGAGCAGCGCCACTGTCTGTCTCCCTTACTGGGCCTACGCGCCTGATCACGACGACCTGACACGATGTCGCATGCTTTCCCCTCTTTAACCTCCGTGCGTCGTCCAGGGCTAGACTGATTAGGCATCGTCAGATAGTATTTTTCTTTTCATGCTTATAGGAATGACGCATCGATGTGACGATGCTTCGTTTCGAGCACTATCTTAAAACTGCTGGTCCGCCGATATGTCGATCAATTGCTTGGCTGTAACTATCGTGACTCACTTTGTTTATTGTCGCCATTGATATCGTCAATCAGGACACTATGATTATGATACGGCATACTGTTGGCTTTGCCTTCTTAGCTGCGCTTGGCTATGCTACCAATGTCAACAACACGGAGCTTGAGCCATTACGATTCACCAAGAATGGCACTTTTCAGATCGCCATCTTTTCCGATATGCATTTTGGACAATGTGAGTTCTCCAATTGACTGGCAAGAACTGCAATTGACACTCGGTTATAGATGAATCAACAACAGGTCCTGAACAGGATCGCAATTCTGTTGAAGTGATCCGCAAAGTCCTTGACTACGACAGACCTGATCTCGTCGTTCTAAACGGCGATCTCATCAATGGAGACTCAACATTTGCTCACAACAGTACACATTACGTTGACATGATTGTTGAGCCAATCGTGAACCGCAGCTTGACCTGGGCATCTACGTATGGCAATCATGATCATAACTACAACATCGCTGGCGATGATATTCTCGAGCGCGAACAAATGTTCCCTGGAGCGCGTACGCAGAAAATGGTTAACAAGAAGCTGTCTGGTACAACAAACTACTATCTGCCTGTTTATCCCTCGGACTGCACCAATACTAGCGATTGTAGCCCTAATCTCATCCTATGGTTCTTCGATAGTCGCGGCGGTAACTATTATCAGGCGTCTTATCAACCAAACTGGGTTGACCAAAGTGTTGTCGATTGGTTCAATGAAACAAGTATCGAGTTGAACGACAAGTACAACAAAACCCTCCCATCGCTAGCATTCGTCCACGTTCCCGTCAACGCCACTGTTGCACTCCAAACGGAGCTTGGAATCCGGAAGAACTACCAGCCAGGCATCAACGAAGATCCTCCAGTGTTCCAACAAGGAGCAGGGTGGTGTGAGAACGCTGATCCCAATGAAACTTGTGATTACGGTGGCCAGGACGTGCCGTTTATGGAGGCTCTGGTCACCGTCCCCGGAGTTATTGGGTTGTTTTCTGGTCATGATCATGGAAATACGTGGTGCTATCGCTGGGACAAGAAACTCGAAGGAATGACTGTCGAAGGCAACGGTATTCATCTGTGCTATGGACAGCACTCTGGATACGGCGGTTACGGCGATTGGATCCGCGGTGCACGAGAGATCGTTGTTACAGAGGATATGTTGCAGAAGGGCGATGTGGAGTCCTATATCCGCCTCGAATCTGGTGATGTCGTTGGGCGGGTGACGCTGAACTCGACCTACAACGACGACTACTATCCTGCTACGCCCAACACCATGACCTATATGTCGGAGGCGTTGAGTGGCAGTAGTAGTAACGATACTGAAAGTGCTGCAAGGATCATTCTGTCAGGGTCTGAACTCATGACAGCTGTTGGGGGGTCATTGATTGCGATTGCTTGGTTGTGTTTCTAATCTTGAAGGCGTTGTTTAGATGAGTCACGACGATATGGATACCCAAGTTATTTTATATACCATAAAATCAATTCTATAAATATGACATATATCCCAAGTTCGCATGCTGTATCGTGTACTCGAAAGCCCCCTAGCCCTTGCATTCATATCAGGATTTGATTTCTGTGTTCCCAGAATCATTTTTAAAGCTGTCATGAGTTGTTATCGGTCAGCGAAGATCACTATGTACAGCTACCGTCGGCGTCCTTTGCCTGCTTAGTATTTTATCTCAGCGTAGCTTCTTCAATGCATCACTTTCGATGCTCCTCATCAGAACTTTCACTCTCGATCGACTGCCGCAACATCTCCACATCCTCTTCATCAATAGACTGCCCTCTTGGGACTGACTCCTCATGATGCGTCTCGTGACTATGCAGTCTCATGTTTACAAACATAAACCAGAGACCCAAGTCATACATGATTCGCAAGATGCCACCCACCAGAAAAGCAATCCAGAACTTTCCAGATTCTGCAAGTCCTCCAGTCAGCGAAGGGCCAGTAGCCATGGCCAAAGTTCGAAGTGTCGAGGTGATTCCCATGACAGCAGTGCGCTCTTCAGGCTTGACAACAGCCGCGATGAAGGCTGCTCTGGGTGCTTGATCCATATTGTTGAGACCCATGCGAATGAAGAGGAGTATGACTGTGAGGACCAGACCACTGGGCAGAGGGAAGAACAGAACTGATATCGAAGACGGCAGATGAGTAAATACCATGGTGTTTATAAGGCCCAGGTGACGAGATAGGGGTCCTGCAAAGACTGTTGAGATGGTTGCCAAAACCTGGGCTGACGAGAAGATGTTTCCAAGGGTAGTCTTGGAAGGCGAGAACTTGTGATCGAGAAAGTAAGTCGTGAGAGATTCCGAAACCATTCCATCAGCCAGAGAATCGATGGTCAGGAGAAACCATAGCCGGTACATGACAGACCTGGTGCCGGACGAAACGCTTGAAAAGCGACTCGCTGGCTCAGGATGATTTGATGTCACGGACTGTCTTGTCCTACGAGCGTCTTCATCTTCATCTTCCTCTTCCTCCATCGATTCGCGCAGAAGTCCCTCAGCTAGTTCGTCAGAAGCCTCTGAAGAGTCATCGTGATGGGCTTCCGTCTTGTTACTCATGACAAACGCGAACAAGACATTCAGTGCACCCATCAGGATGTACACCCAGAAAGTCGCGTGATATGCCCTCACAAGATTCCATCCCTCTCGTTTTGTCATTTTTTCGACAAATCTTCCTGCCAGTGCCGCGCCACCTGCAGCACCGAGACTCGAACTGGTGATGTACCAAGCCAAAACATCAGCTCTCGTCTTGGGAGTCGTGATGTGAGACAGCATAGACTCCTCGATGGCTCGGAACGGACCAAAGTCGCTTCCGCTCGCGCTGACTACACCAACGACAGCAGCGAAAAGCAGAATCCAGAAATTCTCAAAGACCGAGAATATTGCGCCTGACACGGCCATCAAAAAGCCACCCGCCACCAAAACCCTCCGCCGACCAAGCCCATCGGCCATGAGCGTTACAACCAAACCGAGCACAACATCACCCAACAGCGTCAAACTCATGAACAAGCCAATCCTGAAATCAGAAAAACCTAATTCCGAGAAGAACTGCGCTATCGTAAGCGTGACAGCCTTGAATGCGAACATGCGACATGTCCGTGAGAGAATAAGCAGCCAGGCATCTCGACCAGCAGAATACACAGCTGAGATTCCCGACTCGTGGTACAGCCAGCCAGCTTTTTGACCGAGCGAAGATCGTTGCGTTGCCATTGCGAGGGCTATTGAGGTTGAGAAAGAGAATAATGATCGCGTGCTCGACTTGATATGATATGGATTGTTGCGGGGTGTCGCCGATCGGAGTTATCGGCACCGTGATCGGCGGTGTTTTTCACCGAGTTACTAGTTCTGGCATCATTGTGACCTTGCTTACATTTTCGCATTGGGGAATGAGTCAGTGTGAATAGGAGGGAAGAGGATTTCCGGGTAGTGATTCGGAAGTAGTATTCGGAAATGGAGCGGAGATCGAATGGCGATGAGGACGTTGCAGTGCGACTGACGTGAAAACCTTGTTAGCGACAAGGTTGCTTCGGTGAGGCTCTATTCAGAAGGTCAATGGCGAATGGATCGGCAAAGAGATGACTAGGGGGTCGCAGTATGCACTGTATCATTTGACGATTGGAGGAACATATCAATGCTCTATGGGATCTCACATACTGAAGCTATTGCAACACCATGATAGTGAATGACGAGAGTGCTCAGCTTGACTTGGTGCAATTTCGTCTTCTGAAACGTCTTTTTTTGCGTTTGCGAGCCTCTTTGTCAAGAATCCAGACCTTCTCCCCGAATAGCTCAGCTGGAAGAGCGTTCGGCTGTAACTGATATTGCCACCGAAAGGTCACTTGTTCGATCCAGGTTTCGGGGATTCAATTTTTTCTTTTTCTTTCACTCTATCCTTAAGCAACAGACGTGCCTATTATTATTTTTTTCTCCCGGTCACTCATTTGACTTACCCAGTTCAGATCTAAAGCTGACCTTCAATCTTGAGGTGCTTGTGAAGGTCTCATTGTCGACTGCTGAAGCCACTAAAGTTTAGCGCACCTCATTACTGAATTGCTGACCCCGCGATGACTTGGTGACTGACCGTCAATGATCTTTCTCAACCATCTTAAGAATGACTTTAGCCTTGACATTACCTACTTGGTACTATCGCGTTACTGAGGCAGTCAAAAGGAGAAATGGCGTTATACTCTGGGATTTTGATGAAGATATCTCCGACTTTGATGAAACCAACCCAGACAAAACCGTAACGTACAATGGACCTGATGCAGCAGATTACCATCGCTTGAGAGAGAAGCGTGAGGAGCGCAGAAGAGAGCTTTTCCAGCGCAAAGAAACTATTCGAAAGCGCAAGGAAGATTCAAGAGAGGAGGAGAAAAATAAGATTGAACAAGTGCGGGCAGCATATGAAGCCTTGGAGATTTCCGTGTCCAGAAGCGAATCAACTCGACTAGGTCCTATCGACAGCCAGTTCGATCTCTACTGTATGGACTACTTTGACCTTTTTTATGACCCCAGTCCGCATGTATACCATAGGAGATACATCAGGTTCGAATGCCGAGATAGGGGGGAGGCGCACAGCGATAATCTCACGGGTCGGTTCTGGCTCAATCCCAAGGTCGACTTTGAACTTGTCCCATTCAAGGCCCCGGATTCTTCAAGCCTTGAACGTCATGAGATCTACACCATCGATGGCAGATTCTCCCTGATTATGCAATTTATTGACAAAGATCACTTGATCCTCAGAGCAAGCCAAGATCTCGTCTTCTGGGGCGCTCTGCAGGATTTACAAGGTCCAGAAACCTTCATATTCAAGGGTGTTCGCAATGATTGGGGCAAGCAACTTCAAGCGTTTGCAAGAATGTTGCACCCCTGAGAGAAGTTTCCGTGGGTCAAAACGTATGATGAGGATGGGCGTTTTGCGCCCGACGTGCCTTGCGTGGAGGCCGGCAAAAAGTTGCCGTGCTTCGCCTCACTCGTCCTCTCCGCGCTCAACTTTTATCGTGTCGTAAAGGCTACAGATACAATTTACAAATTGTCAATCATGTCGACTCCAACCTCTCCATCTAGTGCTCTTCCGCCGCCTATGACAATTCTCTCGGTGCAAGACGGAACCCTCTGTGAATTTTGTCACGATGACGAGCTAATTCAGCCAATCCGAACTAGAGGTCTCTCAGATCTCACTCAATCGTCGCGTCACTGCAAGCTTTGTGCAATGTGGCTTAGGGCCTTAGAACATTCTCGTAGAAACCTGAGAGTTCGAGGCCAAGTTGCTGCACTGAGACAGCATCCATTGGAGCAAGGCATTGATGATGTGACGCTTGTGTTTCTGAGTTCTCAAAGGCGACCACTAATTGTATGGCCGCATATTGGACAAGTGTGGGCACCTCTCGGTACAGTCGATATCGATGGTTAGTTTGGGCTTCGACCACCGATGTGGGTTACACTAGAGCTGACAGGTGAATGCAGATGCCAAAGACATTAACTTGAAGCCGTTGCCTGCGTCTGATCAGGCCGAGAGCACTTGGAAACTGGTCAGAGAATGGCTTGATCGATGCGAGAAACATCATAGAGATTGCAAATATAACAAGATGCCCTCCTGGAAGCCAACTCGGCTGCTTTGCGTGTGTAATACACAGGCTGCCCTTCAAGTCCGCCTTGTCGAGAGTCAGGATATACCCGACGGCGCTGAGTATCTGACCCTGAGCCATCGCACGGGTGCAGGAAACACTCTCCAACTTACTCGCAGCAACATTGAAGCCTTCAAGTCCTCAATTCCTGTTGATGAGCTCTCCTGCCTCTTCATGGATGCATGCAACACCACCAAAAGACTGAGTCACGAATTCCTCTGGATCGACACACTCTGTATAATTCAAGATGACCCTGCTGATTGGCAGCATGAGGTTGGCAGCATGGCTTCCATCTACGGGAACTCATGGCTCAACCTCTCGGCTGATGGGAATGATGCGGCTGAACACGGGCTCTTCTGTCCTTCTAGCAAACGAGCCGACCGCCCATGGCTCCCAGAATATATACATCGTGAATGGGGCGAGGGATTCCCTCGTAATTATTGCATATCCGACTACCACAACTGGTGGGAACGCATCTCAGACTCGAAGTTGAACCGAGGAGCCTGGGCTCTCCAGGAGCGTGTTTTAGCGCCAAGGGTCCTGCATCTGGGACTTGAACAAGTTGCTCTCGAGTGTTCCTCGAACGCGGTGTGCGAACGACTGCCATATGGTGATGCAACGATATGGCACGACACTGCCATCTTGACTTCATTAAAAAAGTTTATTCTCGACGCACGAAACAAAGACCTGGCTCGTCTAACTCCTGAGAATGCTTTTCGGAACTGGAATCAAATAGTTCGAGCTTACTCTCAAGGACAGCTCACGGTTGAGACGGACAAGCTTGTTGCACTATCAGGCCTTGTCGATGTGCTCCACCCCGTCTTCCGCCATATGATGGAGTCAGAAGAGCAAGTCGGAGATGGCCAAGGGAGACATGGTGCACAAGCTCAGGTAAATTCACTCCGTCATAGATTGTCGAGGATTTTCCTTGCTGGATTATGGCGCCCATATATCGAGAGACAGTTGGCATGGCGGGCAATGTCACGCAAATACCTATTTGAATAAGATGGGAGCCCGGCTTCGGCACCTGGGAAGCGTTACGACGAGTATGTTGCTCCGACATGGTCTTGGTTCTCTGTCAAGGATACTGTCATTGAACCACAGGAAGTGAGTTTCGTGGATATTTACTTCACAAAAGTCATTGATACAAATATCGTCCCCCATGGGACGCTAAATCCAGCAACACCTTCTAGTGCCTTGAGGTACTGCTCCTCCCTTGGTTCGTTTCTCCGTCTGCGGTGTTCCTACCTACCCATCGTCGAATTGGGATCCGTGAGCGGTATGAAACTCGTGGACTTTGGAGCTGCAACTTGTGAGAAAGACCTTGGAGATGAAGTGATCGAGGTTCAAAGTAAAAACTACTGGGATGTGCAGTTTACTCAAGAGGCTATAGACTGCAAATCGCCCATAGCGGTCCCCGCCTTTGCAGACATGGCGTACTTCACCAACCCCGTACATTGCCTCGTTCTAGACGAAAGGGATGATGAGAACGGGGACCGATGGCACATTCGACTTGGAACCTTCGTGATCACTCATCTTGAGGATGTGAAAAAGTTCTGGAAGGGGATCGAGGACTTTGATCAACGTATGCCGGAAGACTGTGAGAGGTATGATGGGCTGTACAGATTCAAGGAACTGGAGAGGAGCAAGTCGACGTATGTGAAGACGGTTGAGGTTTTGTAACGGGTCGTTGAGATCAGGTAGCTTTGTTTGGGTCCATGTCGAGATACTGAAGCAAACGTCGAAGGGCCGTGAATGCACATTACAGGGTTCAGTTCATCAATCTACTACGTTGGAAGTTCCTACAGTGATGCATTCAGCGAAGCCAATAATGTTCAATAGTAATACTAAATAGTAGTAAACAAGGGTTCCTGGCCTTCCCCATCTTTACTCGTCCTTGTAAGGGTCGAAGCCCTGAACACCATCACCAGCAGCCGCCTTGAGTGAGTCACCAAACTCATCATCCAGCTTAGGTCCAACACCACCACTCCAGTTCTGCAGCATCTTGTCTCGCAGACCAACATCAGGCCAGTTATCCCAACCAACAAGGGGCGCCTTGAAGAAAGAACCAGTAGGGTTCTCGGGGTTGGCCCGATCATCGTCGTTGGCGAAGCGGTAGCAGTGAGTTCCGGCACCGTCCTTGTGATAGACGAGAAGAGGGGTACTTCCATCTATGGGAAACTGGTTGCTTGCGCCGCCGTATTTGCCGTGGCAGGAGGGAGATACGCGGACGACATTGTCGCCTTGAGTGAAAACGACGATGTTCTCCCAGTCGTGGCGGTGACCTCCGAGAAAGCTGCCACCCACGGCTTGGTCTTTCTCATAGTAGGTCTCATACCTTGGAGGTACAATGTTAGCATGTATACCGAAATGAAGAAGCCCTCGTGCTCGAGGTAGAGGAGAAAGTCTTACATGATGGCACAGAAGCCATTGTTGCAGCGCTTTCGAGAATAGGTGTTGCTGTTCTCAAGCTGATGAGGATCACGACAGTCTCCCTGGGGAGTACCAGTGGCGCCATGACCAGGGTTCAAGTTGCCGCTAGGATCGATGGCGGCGGTCTGGTAGCAGCCGTCGCTGTCAAAGTCCAGAGAAGGCTGGAACTTGTTCTCTATGTCAGAAGCGCCTCCGGGAAGGGCTGTGAGAACGTCTCGCTTGGACATAGAAACGGGAGATGCCTGGACTGATGTCAAGGCACTCAGGAGAGTGGCGGCAGCGATGAACTTGTTCTGCATGGTGGCTGTTGTTTAATGATGTGATGGGAAGTGAAGAGGTTGATGAGATGGAGTTAAAGTGAGGGCGGATGATGTCGTATTTATGCGTGTCTGAAGCTGTTGGGGACAAGTTCCTGTCTTGAAAAGATCAACATCTTGCGACTCACAACCTTGATCGCAGCTCGTCCATGGAGGTCCAGCTCAGATGCACATCTTGGGCAAGCACGTTACATCCGTGTTGATCATAATCTTGTCAGCAACAACGTCGCAAGAAACTTATGCACTTTTCGGGTATGTCACTCAAGATCGCCTGCCGGCAGTGCTGGCGGATACGATCTGGGTGCTATGATAGGCCAGTCAAGGTGCATCCTTCCAGTCTATCCACGGTACTTCGTTCTGAAAGGATTGTTTCAAAACTGGCTGCTTGAAACGAATTGGGGAGTCAATTACATCATGGCTCTTTCTCTGCTGCAGAGTCGGGTTTTCTATGCTGAGGCGGGTTGAAGCCAAGACTGATCGACAGGCACGTGGGTCGACGGCACGTTTGTGAGGCTGCATTGGATTTGGGGCAGTTTTGCTACAGAACGATTCTTTGTGAGACTTATTATTGATCATTAGATTATATAGAAAGTCTTAGAAGCCAAAAATGATGCAAATTCCATATTTTTTGATGACATTCACGCCAATGGTAACTTGCTGTTGACTTGCTGTCAAGGCTGGTTTATCTTCTTTGCTGCGTATAGCTACCCACCTACCTACTAACCTACTTGGTGTTAGTGATCTGCTGTACGAACAGTTCTGCCTTACAAACTCATCTGACGTCAGAAGTGAGCTACATTGTCAAAATAGGCAAGTCGTGTTCTGTTTCAGCTCCACTCCCTCGCTGATCAGAGGCATCGAATGTGGCTCTGCAAAAGACCTTTTTGTCCCGCCCTAATTTGGACTAAACATGAAGGATGCTAGTTAAGATTCATGCATAAACCTAGACCAACGGCAATCAGATTTATCACCCGATGTCATAATCAGGGCCACGTATCATCGCAGGATTCTTTTGTCGTACCAGACAGAGGCGCTTCGGTCAGCATCCCCCTGGTTGATCGGCATCAGCTGCACAGCCTTGGAGAGATCAGCAAATACCTGGATGGATGCTCAGGGCCGAGAGCTGTGCCGTCTTGTATCCTGATCGCGCTGTAGCCCACGACGATCGATCACTAAGCTTAAAGCTTGGTCATAGCAGCATCTTAGCCGCTTCTGGTAATTCATTTACTATTCCATGTCTATTCAACTGCTTCAACGCGCAGAAACCTGTTATTTTGTCGATAAAATATTGTGCCTCCAAGCCTGGTAAAAGGGCCAAGCATCAGTGGTAGGTCTGTCTGTAAATGAGGCTTGACTCTCAAATCAAGACCCCGTACCAAGACATCGGATCATGTCAATGGCTCAATTTAATGGTGCCCCAGAAGCAGCAAGAGTCGCGTAGAACAGCTTTGTTCTCCCCATGATAACCATACGTCCCTTGCCTGCGAATTGGAAGTTGGCTGCATTGATTCCTGTGTATATCTTGCCAATGAGCTTTCCAGAGCGATTCCAGACATGCACGCCATCGCCGCAGCCCGCGTAGACATTGCCTTCAGAATCGCAATGAATTCCTAGAGTCAAAAGCAGTCAGCACACTTTTCGCTTTTTGGAACAGAATCTGTTCTCAGTAAGAAGAGACTAATTTCAATTACCATCTGGCAGACGAGCTGCTGTAAAAGCGAATGTCCTGCGATTGTCCCATGTCCCATCTTCTTGTACATCGAATCGGTAGCTATTATCACTATCAGAAGTCTAGCCATTACTGCTAAAGTCGAGACTTACATAGAGGCGGGACGAGTGTAGTTATGCCCGAATAGTGCATTGCTTATGCCAGTGTCTGTAACATAAGCGTGTAGTCCATCAGGTGAGAAAGTGAGTCCTGTCGTTCACTAATCGTTAGCAGCCACCTTACATCATATGGTAGCAATCTCCGTTGCCTCACCATTTGGAGCGACGAAGCCATCCGCAACAACAGTCAACGCTCCGGTATCTGGGTCGAAGCGATAGACTTGATTTTGCAGTCCAGGCTCGGGGCGGAAGTACTGCCAGTAGCCATACATGGTATCAGTGAAGTAGATATCGCCGTTACGTGGATTGACAGAGACATCATTAAGGGAGTTGAATTGCCTGCCAAAGAAGTTGTTCACAAGAGCTAAAAGGGCAAAGTTAGTGCTTGTGACAGCGCAGAAATTTCTATGAGTCCTTACTTGTTGTATTATATGGTGCTTCCGGATTCATCAGGTACAAAGCGGAAGGTATCTTGTCGCCTTGTCCTTCACCTGCGAAGATGATCTGACCCTTATAGTTCGTTCCACCTGCGGATTATGAGTTTATGGAGACTCCCTGATATCTGGTAACCTTACTTACCGTTGGGGTTGATGACTTGCGGATCAGAGTCTATGATCGTAATCTTGACTTGGCTCTCTGTGTGTGATCCATTCTCCAGAGCTTCAGCTTCGGCCAAAGAGATCTTTTGGATGACAGATGACTTTGCAAGTCCAGTTCCAGCGTCTGGATCGCCTGCATTCTGCACAAAGAAAACTTCTTCAGTTGGAGGGTTCCTACATAATTGCGTGTTAGTACGTAAGAAACTGGTAAGGCGTGAGGTTTACGAACCATACAACAGCTTCATGGAAGATGGGATCTTTCTCTGAAGTGGCGAGAAGAGTCAATGTTGGATTGCTTCCAATTACATCGAGGAACTCTGCATCATAAACATGAAATGGTCGTTCAGTAAGGGATTCATAGGTAACTCCCGGCCAGAGGAACCTCTATCGAAGTGTTAGCGCAGGTCACTATCATTTTTATGCTAGCTCACAGTTGTAGCATTGGCTTCTTTTGGTGGAGGGACATGCTCCAGAACATTGAAGCTCTTTTGGTCGATTATTTGGGCTGTAGCTGGTAACTTGGCAGGATCGATGACAGTAGGCTTTGCCTGAGCCTCACCGAAGAGGCCGAGGCTATAGGGAACCAAGACACCAATAGCGAGCGCTCCAATGGCCATGGTGGTAGTATTTAGAAACGAAGATTGCTGTGTCTTGCTCGTTCCTTGACGTCCAGAGCCATCTCGACTCTTTATTGTCGGTGTACCCCGCTTTGTCGACATTTCTGAATCCTTGTTCTGCCTCTTCAAAGCTTGTACTCGGGATCGCGCCAATTGGTCGGCATGAATGAGGGACACTGATGATGCAGGGGAGTTGAGCTTTTCCGTGGATGCAGTAGATGTTGGTCTACCTAATCTCCCAATCGCTGTTGCACAGAAGTGATGCCAATGGCGATGCGACGATATTGCGGAGAAGCTTGATGGGGTACAAGGAGAGTTTGTGAACTCAATGATATTCCACAAATGATCCAACTATTGGGATTCCATGGATATCGTTGTCAAATGAAGAGCCCGAAACGATTTCATGAATATTGAAGATAGATTCGAGGTTCGTTCGGTCCATACGGAAAAGCCCGCATTCCGACTGCCGAACCGAACCAGCGGAAAAAACGAGACCGGGGTATTTCCGACGAAGATGGACTCTACAAAGAGAAGCCAGCGATATTTCACGATATAACTTATATCTAACATCGTACTTTGGATAACGTTGTATTCTTCTACACCATTCTGAAATATGTGTCTCGCTATCGCTAGTTATTGTGCTCATTGATAATGTGTCTCCCCACTGAAGCGGCCTGAGTATATCCACAATGTGAGAATATGGCAATGCGGTTCGTCTCGTGGCTCATCATGGTCAGCAAGCACGCTCAACGAAGCGCAATGATTCCACACTACTATGGAGCAGCAAATAGCACGACACTCTCCAGTGGGGTACTGAGGCACGTCGTGAGAATTTAGTCTCCTCTTGGCACTGGTTTGACAACATAAGCGATCATGGCGCAGCAAAAAGAACAGAAACGGGCGGGGTTGATGATGTTCACTCCAACATCACATTCCTCATTTCTGTATATTCAAAGAAAACATCATAATGCCTCAAGTGTCTCCATGGAAACAACGAAGCGACGGCCTCTGGAGTCGGCCGCTCATCGGCCCTGAGCGTATGTTCGACCAGTGGCTCGAGATCGACGGCTGGACTGAATGGATGGGCGCAGTCATCTTCACACTCGCTCCGTCTTACGCGTCTCATATGAACAGCAATGCCCATGTTGAGACGTGGTTCAGGAAAGCAGTATCGTGCGTTTGCCTTGAGAAGTCTTCCCTCCTGGCAGTCATTGAGCGTGGCCAAGAAGAGTCGGCAGTCGCAAAGTCTCGAGACTTCGTCTACCGCCCTCTCATATCAGATGATGACTTTTCTGAGAGGATTAAGCAGAGGACCACCGTTCTGTATACCGAAAAGTCGGCTCAGGAGGGCTTGAAGTTACTCACAGACGACTTCTACTCGACTCCAGAGAAACGCATCAGCCTCGAGCTCGGAGACCATTTGATCCACATATCCTTTGTTTCTTCGTCCTCCGAGGCGGGGACTTTTGCCCTTGCAATTCGCTACAACCATGCATTGAACGATTTCTGGAGTGGTGCGGCTATCCTCAACAATATTCTTAGCAAACTCGCAGACGGCTTGAGCACTACCCAAGTACTATCGCTTTCATACAAAGATGCGTCTCACTCTTCTCTACACCCTTGCTATCTCGACTTTCTCCGTGATCCTATCGGAGACACTCCCTTGGATGCCGAGTCTCAAGAAAAGGCAGCGCAGCTTCTTGGCGCCAATCTCGGCAACATCACTCTTTGCCCTATCTCGCAAGAACCAGCAAAAGACCGACCTGACACCGACTATTCCGTGAGAAGGCAGATTCTGTCGCAAGAGACGACGCAAAAGCTCTTTAAGCTCTGCAAGAAGCATGGGGTTACTGTGACGGCACTGTTGACGGCATTACAAGCACTTGCACTCCTCAAAACCTTTCCTCCCGAAGATGTGTCCCGAACCGTGGCGGCACCTATCTGTGTGAGTAACAGGCTGCGTCAGACATCTTTTGGTGGCAATCAGGGCCATTCAACTTCTTCGAAGGCCAGATTGAGCGAGATATGTCAAGAGGCAGCCTATATCGGGCCCGTCATGGCAACTACTTTCCTTGTGTCTCCCTTTGACGTGAGTCCATATCTCAAGAACCATGACGCTTCTGTTAGGGAGGATAATTGGAGGCAGATTGTTTGGGAAGTTGCCCGAAATGTTGGTCGAGCGACAGATGAGGCAGTCAATAGCAACCTGAGTGAACATGTGGATTGGACTCAAGGCCCAGCTGCCTTTGGTGGTGTTGCGCACGCAATGGAGGCGATGAAAGCCGGTCTACTGCCTTCGTAAGTCTCCCCGGCATTTTACCATCATAAAGAACTCGGCTAATCATTGCTTCTTCCAACAATATCGATAGACCGCCTGGCATGTTTACTCCTCTGTCATCAGCAGGTCTGTTGGACGGGCATCATCTCCCAGGGTCGTACGGATCTCTAGATCCAAATGATAAAACTGCGCTGAATATTAATGACTTTTCATTTTATTCACGAGTTAGCAACCTTTTTGGACGTAAGTGCAATTATCCTGCTTCTCTCCATGCCGTTCGTGTTTTATAGTGAAACTAACTGCTTCATATGCAGCTCAAACATGGGCTTGGACATTTTCCGGAAAACTCAATATAATATTGGTGATGCCTGATCCACGAGTACGCTCCGTTCCGAATATTGAGTGGTGGAATCTGTTCAACGAGATGGTTGTCAAAGTAGCGGCAGAGAGTTTGTCTGATGTTAGTGCTTAGTAGATGAAGCTTACAATACCAACCGCCTCGGCTCTAGTGTTTCGTTCATGTAGGGCGCACTTTTGGAATCCGATTACTAGCCGGCGGTAAATTGATTATTACCGTGTAATGGCAAGTATGGCATAGGAGTAGCGCAATCCAGTATGCATATTGGCTCGCCTGTAGGATGAAGATCTAACAGTCAAGAATAATGTGACATATTGTCATTGCTGTTCATCATTATGTCTTCACTATGGCTCAAATAGTGGCGGAGTGTCTTCGGAGATAAACCACGAGAATGTCTGAAGGCTTGGCTACTGATGCTTCGCCGTGGCGTCAATGACAAAAGGCGGGGAAGCCATCTCTGACTCAGTCATATTTTGCGCCCTTTGAATGTCTTTCATGTAATACCTGCCGAGTCGCTTCAAAGCGCAGCTAGCATATAAGAGCCCGACTCCGCAAAATCGTACTACTAGCCACCAATCCTTGCAGTAGATTACGATGAACTCTTTTGATCCCCCAGACCAAGGTGCAGAGCTAGACTCCCTAAGCTCTGCCTTCCAGGTCGCCTTCGATCGGATCTTCCAGACTACCCAGAAGGTTAGTGGAGAGCCTCTATTGCGAGTAGCCCAAGGAACTCAGGTTTCTATACTGAAATCAATCAGCACCCCTGGAGATGCTCACTCGGTGGAGGCAGCCATTGAAGATGCGTTCACCATCTCTGACTATCGAATGCGAATGAATCATACCAAGTGTTTCAGCTTTATTCCAGCGCCTACCTCGCCACTTTCTTGGATAGGTGATTGTCTGTCGAGCGCTTTCAACTCTTTCGCTGGATCGAGACTGCAGGGCTCTGGTGTAGCTATTGTTGAGCAGACGCTACTGCAGTGGCTGTCAGCTAAGGTTGGACTTCCAGATACGTCTGGAGGTATCTTTGTCTCAGGGGGCTCTATGGCAAATATGAGCGGCATGGTGCTTGCGAGAGAATGTATATTGGAGCCCGATACTGAGCACCTGGGCGTCGCTTATCTCTCTGATCAGACACATCATTCTGTCAAGAAAGCCCTCCGCATCATTGGTATCAGGAGAAGTCAGATACGAGTTGTCCCGACGAATGGATGCTTTCAAATGGAGGTGAGCGCCTTGAGAGATGCCATCAAAGCGGACCGCGAAGCAGGGCTGAAGCCTTTTGTAATCGTGGCGACATGCGGGACAACAAACACGGGAAGCATTGATCCATTGGAAGCGCTCGCCCAGGTTCGCGATGAAGAGAATATCTGGCTCCATATTGATGGTGCATACGGCGCGTCCGCTTCCCTAGCTGCGACTCGGAGCTCTGTCGCCAATGGTCTTGGACTGGCAGACAGTATCTCTTGGGATGCACACAAATGGCTGTTCCAGACATACAGCTGCAGTCTTATCCTTGTAAGAAACAAGATCAACTTGGCCAAAGTTTTCAACAACGACGGAGACTATCTTCGCGATGCTGTCGATGACGAAGAGATGCCCAACTTTTGGAACCTCGGCATGGAACTAACACGTCCCTCGCGAGCGCTGAAACTGTGGTTCACCCTCCGAGTCCTCGGCGTAGAAAGATTTGGGAAGATGATCGATCACGGTATTCTTCTTGCGGAAATTGCTGAAGCCGAGATCACAAAGTTGTCGGATTGGGAACTCACAAGTCGAGCGAGTATGGCGATAGTGACATTCCGATATGCACCTGCGGGAAAGACTGAGGAGGAGTTGGATGAATTGAACGCGGCGATCTCAAAGCATCTGGTTAAAAACAATATCGGACTGATTTTGACTACAAAGCTACGAGGGAGAGTCGTTCTGAGGATCTGCTCTATCAGCCCGGTGCTAGGCGGGGACGAGATGGTGGAGGTTATTCAGCAGACCAACAAGGTTGCGCAGCTCATTTCTAACCAGCGCACTCAATAACCAGCCATATTCAGTAACATTTGATACCTCGTTAATCCAATTGATGCACAAATAGTATTTTGCAACGGGAAATTGACCGTTGATTCAGGCTGACTGATGATTATTTACGGGAATAATAGCGAATATGTCAGCTTACCAAGCTCGCCCTTCGGAAGTTCCGGACACAGCGAATCTTCCGAAGTCCAGATGCCGTCCTGTTGACAGGCCTTCAATCTTATCTCGGATCTCAGAATTGCACCATAGCGCGCGGTTGACTCCACGATGTAAATGGTAGGTTTGTCAGCCCAAGATGTGCTACAGACGCCAGCCAAGAACGCTGGCCCTCGAGCAGGTATTTATCTTGGCTTTGCATTCCATCGTAGACTGGCCCGCTGTGAGCCTCAATTCAGCAACAGCACAACATGTCAGTCACGAAACCCATCCTCATCTCAGGCTCCGGCCTTGCTTCATTGCTACTGGCACAATCTCTTAAACAATCCAAGATCCCGTTCAAGATTTTTGAACGTGATGAATCTTTCATTTTTCGCGCCCAAGGGTACAGGCTTCGTCTTTCAGCAGAGGGTCTGGATGCTATTGAGTCTGTTCTCAATAAGAAGACGTGGCAACATTTCTGGGATGCCTGCGGCAAGACGGGCGGAGGTGGATACCGGGCATTCGATGCAGTGACTGGAGAACAGACAGAGCATGTCGTTGCAGAGAATCTCTCATCGCGAGATGGAAAGATCGTTGGCATTGCTAGAGGTGATATGAGAAGAATTTTCGCAGAGGGTTGCGAAGACTACGTTGAATGGGGCAAGAATGTTATAGGCTACGAATTGACTGACAATGGTGTTCGCGCCATCTTCTCCGACGGAACAAAGTCCATCGAAGGATCCATGCTCGTCGGCGGTGAAGGAATCTACTCCAAGGTTGCGAGACAAGTCTCGGGCGGTAAGCTCAAAGTCTACGACACTGGCGCGAGGGGTATTCACGGCCAAGCACCAACAACAGCATTCAAGCAGCTCGGTGAGGGAGTGTTCCGACTCCGCGACGATACACGTCCCGACGGCCACGCCTTTCTCATGACAAACGTTCGCTCCGGAGATATGAACAACCCAGATGTGAGCTTTGGCTGGACCATGGGCGGAGCACCAGGTGTCATTCGCGCGCCGAACGACAACTACACGATTGTCGGAAAAGTCGCTGCGGATATCGCAAAGTCAATTGTCAAAGACTGGGACCCAAAGTTCAAGCCTTTATTCGACAACATGGACGAGGGCGAAGCTGCGTTCTGGAAGATTACTTGCTCGACTCCGTCGGGCGTACCTGAATGGAAGAACGAGCCTCGTGTGACGGTCATTGGCGATGCAGCTCACTCGATGACACCTGCGGGCGGAATTGGCGCTAACACAGCTGTTCGTGATTCAGCACTGCTTGGACGATTGCTGCGTGAAGCTGGCGGGTACAGTCCAGGCGTCACAGCGGCGTATGAGAAAGAGATGCGGGTTTATGCCAGTGAAGCTGTCCATCAGAGTTATACCATGGCTGCGCAGGGTTTTGGGGTCAATATCGATGAGGAGACGACCCCAATTGTCTGAAACGTCGATCGAGTGCGGGGACATGATGACGTCAGACAAAGGAAGAGCGAGACAATATTTAATAAAGATTTGAAGTATCGATAAAGGGTGATAAATATAGATAATTAAAATATATACATATAAATAGAATGTGACACTAAAAACACAAGCAGGCAGTAGATGGTTGGGGGGACCTGGGGACATCGGATTGTGGCACGGTATCGGGAAACGCGGCGGCATTGCGTAATGCTCTCTCTACGAATCACGTGAAAGCTGATGATCCTGCCTGCACAGCCAACCTAACAGCTCCTTTCATTTTATTTTGATCTGCTCTGACTGTCAGCAGCGTTTCACGTCCCTCATCTGCCTTCTTCTCTTCATTATTTGTTTTGATGTAAATACCATGGTTCAAATCACATGATTCTCTTGAGCGGTTGCTCTATGACCGGTTGATCTCCTACAGAGTTTGCGACAAAACCTTCCAAAGACGTCTCAAAACTGACGAACCTACTCCTGGACCATTCTCAAACATCATCCGACGCAAGAAAGGGGAATTTTGATACGAATTGACCATGCGCAACGATAATTATTCAACGCTACTAGAAAACTCGACAAGCTCCAATTTCGACGATACTCGTAAATTGACAGCAAACAACGATATCGCGCTGATCTCGAGCCTGTATTCACTCGCTTTTTCCACTGATATCAATCGGAAGTCACTTCGTACTCAACAATCAACACCAAAGTCAAAGTCAGAGTCAGAGTCAGAGTCAATTCCTCAAACATCATCGCGATGCTCTGGTCTTGGCGCGATGACGCCTCCAAAAGCGGGAAATGGATCAGCGTCGTAACCGCGCGCCATCGTCTCGTCAAAATTCTTGGCGTTTTCATCTGTTTCATCTGCGCCCTCACGCTTTGGGAATTCTGGGCAGATCTCTCTGTCGCCTACAAAAGAGTCTCCTCACCAAGCCTCACCCAAACTGACCAAACTCAATCCGACTCGTCAACCCCCATCTCTACGAGCGGGCCTCAATTCACTGGACCGACTGAGCAGACCACGAAATTCTGGGAGAACCTTGTTACTGAATTTTACGCAGCGGAACCTGACGGTGATAAGATCAAACCGCCTAATTCTCTATCGCGCGACAAGTTTGATCCTTATGGCTCAAAGGCGCAGATACACACGGATTGGCTAGAGGTATCTGATGAGGAAGTCGAATCATTGAAAGAGAACCATGCAAAGTTTGTGCAAAGTCTCCGACACCTGGCTCCCCAAGTACCATTCAAACGCAACACCAAGGGCATCGTCATCACTGCCAAAGGATCAGCAGTTGGTGTAGCAGCGACTGCCGTACGGATGCTACGACACGTTGGGTCACGTTTACCCGTTCAGCTCTTTCTCGACTCGGCAAACGAAGCTGAGCATGAACAGTGCAACAACACACTTTCCAGTCTGCAAGTGCAATGCTTGAATATGGACGATTTCCTCAAGTTGCCTAATACGGCAACAATTCAGCAACCAAAGGTTGAAAAGTACCAGTACAAACCTTTGTCAATTCTCTTCTCCAGCTTTCAGGACATCTTGTTCCTCGATTCCGACGCCTTTCCTATTCGAAACCCAGACCACCTCCTTACCGTGGAACCGTATAAAAGTCGCGGACTTGTGACCTGGCCCGACTTTTGGCTGCCAACTATATCGCCTCTCTTCTACAACATCGCCGGAGCCAAAGCACCCAACGTTACTATCGACTCTAGAAGTTCAGAATCCGGAGTTATGCTATACAACAAAGCGAGGCATGCTGACAGTCTCTTACTCGCAGCATACTACAACTTTTACGGCCCAAGGTTTTACTACCAACTTCATTCACAGGGTGCTTGGGGATCAGGCGACAAGGAGACTTTCATGCAGAGCGCATTGGTTCTAGGCAACCCCTATTGGCAGGTCACTAGGCCAGCTACGCTGATTACCGATGAGAAAATCAACTGGGGAAGCGGTATCTGGCAGGCTGACCCTGAACAAGACTGGAAGCTGCAAACACAACAAGGACGAAACCAAACGGCCGTATCTACACGGAAGCGAAAGACGAGGATAACTGAGGACGAAGTAAACATTACGAGTACAATGTTTGCACACCTCAACAGAGTCAAATTCGATACTAGGCATCCAAGTCAGGTACTGGAAGACCTAGTACCTGAGCGTCCTGACGGAACTCGTTCGCGACTCTGGGGAGACGATGTGGATAAGATCAAAGACGTTGCTGGATACGATCTTGAAAAGGCGATATGGGAGGAGGCCATCAAGGCTAATTGTGACCGAGAGTTGATGGAGGAATGTGACAAGATACGAAAGTATTACGAGGCAACGTTTTAGATCGGATGAGACAACGTTCACACGGCCCTAATAATAATAGAGATTTTTTTTCATTGTCATCATAGTTTATCCAGAATACATATGCATCCTTATTTTACAAGACCCGAAGATACGCTTGCTGCTTACTTCTTAGGGGCATACTTGATACCGCTGTCCGGACAAGAGCTCTTGCTTCCATCAGGCTCAGTAGACACAAACTGGCCATCCTGCAGCGAGCCCTTGACGTTGAAATGGTACCAAACCTCGCTCAATGAGCCATTGGAGCAGCCGATGGTGACACGAGCACCATGGTGCTCAGCCAAAGCATCCACAATCTCATCAGCGGTGTAAGTCTTTGTCGTAGAAGGCTTGATTCCAGCCTCGGCAAGCCACTTGTACGTAGGAAGAGTCTTGAAAAGTGAGATGGTCTTCTTGACGTAATCGGCGGCTTCAGCGCCGGTCTCGTAGTTGGTGTAGCAGCTTGGCTCGAGGGTGCTGATGCATGTGCCGTGCTTGCCAAACTCGTGCTCCCAGAGAGATTCGTCATTGCCGTCTTGGCTGACCCAGTACTTGTCCATGTAGGACACGGTCTTTTTGCCGAGGAACTTGGTCACGAGGTCCTTGATGTTGGTGTACTCGCGGGACTTGTCGCAGAACTGGGGATATGTGCCGTCGCAGTAGTCAGGCCAGAGACCGTGAATAGTCCACGAGTCTGGAAACGGTTAGTTTGAGGGATAGTGTTTGGTGCAGGTTTCTCATACCATGAGGTCCAGCTACAGGGTCACTATCCCAGAATTGAGTCTGAAGAAGCTGGCCGGCGGGAATGAAGCAGCAAGTGTCTGCAACAGCAGTAGTGTTGTGGCATGACAGAGGAAGATCCTTTGAGCAAAACTCAGCAGTGGGTTTGCCACCCGCAGAGCAAGACTTTGCCTGCGCTCCAGCAAGGTAAAGCGCAAGAGGAATGAGAGCCTTGATGAACGTCATTTTGAAGCTTATAATTAAGATTGACCGACAAAAATGGATAGTGTTTACAAGAAATACAAGCGATACTTATATTCGACTACGAAATACACGTGGGAGGCAAGTGAACTGTTTATCCTGTCTAGTGTCGGACAAAGTCGACAGATGAAGCAGTTGTGTACGGAGCAGACAAGGTGGTAACGCTGATAAGCAGCGATCTGTATCGTCAAAGAACCCCACGTGCATTGTATGCCAGATTATTACCAGGACCTTTTGTCGCAGCCAATGAGACAGCGAGTTGGCCCATTGCTGGGTGTTGATCGGCGACAAAGGGACCTTTAGGGAAGGGAGATGTTGCAGATGGCGGCCAATGCCGTTTGAAAGAGTTTGTAGCATGAATATCTTGCAATTTCTATAATCGTGTGAGGTTTTGCCAAATCAATTGAGAGGCTGAGTCGTGTTGTATTGTTGATGGGAGTTGATCGAGAATGAGGGGAGAGATTGATGGACCCTGGCAGGTCAATGCCGATTTATCCGTCAACGGTCACCGGTATTGAATTGGGAACGCGGGATTAGCCATCGTTTGTTGTACTTGCCTATAAAGGTTACCGAGCATCGAAAGTCAATTCATTGTGCAGAGATGGCTGGACGACTGCTTGATGGTCGGATGGTCGGGCAGGTCAACAACCGATCTGCGGGACAACGGCTGACAGATTGGACCAGTTTCAGAAGGTCAAGTTGGTGGCTTTCATCACTAGATTGCCTCGGTTAATTGGCGGCCGCATGTCATGTCCGTCCCGTTATCGGATGGACAAGTGAATCAATCGGCCTCGGAGGTTGCCGCTATTACGGACACCGCCGCAGATTAGCTTGCAAGTCAACGGAATAAATTCATCCGCAATTAGTGCCACCATCCCACGGCGTTCATTCCGCTATGACCTTATCTTATCGCACGTCCATCACAGACAGCACACCTGCATGTACCTCGCTTCGCCGTCGAGTACAGAGTAACTTACCTGGGAAACATTTCTCTACACGGTTAGTGACAGAAACATCATCCGACATCCAGTTATAAATGGAAAACAAAAAAGCAATTGTCGCTGATCAATGTTCATGAGGGTCATTAGAGTCCAAGTGATATTTTTGGCTCATTAGTGTAGGGAGTAGGGGAGCTTGATCAATCTCAAACACTCTAAAGAACTGCACAGCCGCATTGTGTCCCTTGTTGGCATGTCCCTTGTGTTCAAGATCGGCATTTGTATTTCGCATTGCGCATTGATGGTGTCGATAACTGTGTCTATGCGGAAGTTGTTTTAAAAGTTTATCTCGTTGGGATGAAGGCTGATTGATTGCCGTCAGATTCCTCATCTCAAGCAAGGCATCGAAGGAACGTGATACGAAGCAGTCTGTAGACACTGAAGCTATCTTTCCAGCCTCGCGCATTGAGTTTTTCGTCCCCAGTATCCGTAGACAACGCCAAGGTCATGGGCCCGAGCTCTGCATCAAACATTTTCCTGGCTGATAAGATAAGTCATGTTCAGCTCAGCTCAGGCCTCAGGGGTAGAGCTGGCCGAAATCCGAAACCCCCGCCACAGCCGTGAGAAATTCTCCGATCATCTCCAAGAATCCTCCATCCCTTTTCAGGTACCCAGTTGCGAAGAGTTACCCTCTAGGGCTGAATTGCCATAGGGCCGTATACGGATACGTTAAATGATGAGCTCGCTTCAAGGGTGAGCTTCGTGCCGTGCCCACTAGAAATGCAAATATCAGATCATGAATGAGTCGCTGTCTTGCTGCCTCGCTTGTCGGCATTAGCGGATCATGGTCCCATTGCTATGACTTTTAGAGACGCTCAACAACCAACGTAGGCACAATTATCCTAACGATGAATGAACTACGCAGCAAGCATCATAGATGAACAATAGAGTTTACCTGTCATCTGAATCTCAGTGGCATCGAACATCAGCATCGCATAATATACAATGCCGTTCTTCTTCCGTCGCAATGGCATTGTCATCAACAATCAACCAGAAATGCATGACTGTAGGGTAGCCTTTGATCTTGATGGAGTAGCATCCTTGAACCTCTTCTCCTCGATTGAGAAGTCAACGAGACCAATCGGGCATTCCTTTCGCCAAACTTTCTATTCTCGTCACCATCATCCATAGTTTGTTTTACCATCTCAGGTGAAAACCCAAATGCCACCCTGTCATGATGTGATCGCTCAGCAGCTCTGCCTGACAGCTCCAGAGCTCTTCTGTGGCTGCGGGCCGTTTGATGCCCATTGCGCACTAAAAGTTACCCACTGATTTCTGTTTCAAGCTCTTCTGGGAACTGTTGCCGAGGGAGTAATCAAAACGAGACGGATCGACCGGGGATAGTCCACTTTTCGTCGATCCGGCATTGGTGTTTTGTTCAGGTGGTGGCGTTCTCAGCTAAATGCATTTAAGATTGCGGATGGGGTCCTCGACCAAGTCAACTCACTATCAATAGAAGAAGTCACCTGAAACGAATCTTTCTGGAACAAAAACTGAAACTAACTATTCCGAGAAGATCGTGGATTTGCGCCTTGACTTTACGCTTTGGCATAGCGCTTTTCCCACTACGGCGGACGAGCTTGTATCCTGGTCGTGATTCTCGGCCGTTTTTTGCCTTATGCATTAGCTGACGATGCTTGTCAATGATGTTCATAACATATCGAGACGAGCAATAGCCGAAGAACGCGGCAAGCTCTAGCCGAAGAGTTGATTCAATATGCACCAAGACCAGCGAAACTACATGTGATATGCAATCTCTTTATCATGCATACAATTTCAACACTGCAGTAGTGTCTTCGCTCACATCCATCTCAACTGACTCGAACCCCTGCCGGCTAAATTTGGAAGAAACAAACAAACGTCAAAGCCCTTCACCGTCACCACCAACCTACGGTAGAGCCTCATGAAACGTCTGAGCGGCGATCGGATTGACACTAGGTCATGGCTCAAACCCCTGGACCCGAGTTGACCGAGCGAGCTGTGTCGTGCTGACCAGCATCAGTGCTCAAGTTCCTGTCACTCATGACTCTCGTCGCGAGAGCTCAACACAGCTTAAAAGGAAGCTCATCGCCGGCTTCAATGTCTTGTTTCTTTTCCAGCATCAACAGTCGTTCTATCTGCTTTTTTCCTATTATCTCTCTTTTCTTTTTTATTTCCTTATTACTTTCGTTTCAGAGTTTCTCTTAGTCACTCGCTACTATTACCAACCACTCTCGCTTTACAAGCTCAAACAACTACAACAAGTACTACTACAAATCTTTATTTTTTATTATCATCATTCCAACACTCGTTTAACGCCATGCGTTTCTCTGCTGGAATCATCCCTGCCTTGGGAGCTCTTGCTTCGCTGGGCGAAGCAACTCCTACTTTCCTCGGTGGTGGAGCATCAGGCTCTGCTGGCGGCGAGATCTCGGGTGGTGCTGATGTCCATCTCGGAGCTGGAGCCGGCGGTAGTGCTGATGCTGGTGCTGGTGCTGGTGCTGGTGCAGGAGCCGGTGCAGGAGCCGGTGCTGGTGGTCACCTCGGCGGTAGCCTCAGCGGCGGAGCTTCCGGTCATATCGGAGGTGAAGCTGGGGGTGAGGCTGGAGCTGGTGCCGGAGCTGGAGCTGGAGCTGGAGCTGGTGCCGGCGGAAAGGTCGGTGCTGGCGCTGGTGGAAAGATCGGCGGTGAAATCGGCGGTGAAATCGGCGGTGAAGTTGGCGGCAAGATTGGCGGAGGTGCTGGTGCCGGTGCAGGAGCTGGTGCCGGTGCTGGCGGAAGCGCTGGCGGCAAGATCGGTGGCAGCATTGGCGGCGGCGCTGAAGGTCACCTTGGAGGTGGTGCTGAAGGCGGTGCTGGTGCTGGTGCCGGCGGCAAGGTTGGTGGTGAAATCGGTGGTGAGGTTGGTGGTAAGATTGGAGGAGGTGCTGGTGCTGGAGCCGGAGCCGGAGCCGGTGGTCACCTTGAGGGCGATATCAAGGGTGGCGCTGGTGGTAAGATCGGAGCTGGCGCTGGTCTTGGTGCTGGCCTCGGTCTCGGCGGTCT